GAATAAAACTCCAACAATCTTGGCGTCCTAGGCCCTCAGATGTCCGCTTATCTAGACTTCGCCTCTTTAAACAATAGAATTACTATATATCCATGGGCTTAGGCTTCAGTACAGCCTTGGAGCGCGCTCACTCATTCATGTATGTACATCTGACCGCCAGAGTATGACCACAACTTGGTAGTATACAGGCAAAGGATTGCGTTGACTTACTCTTTGGTGGAGTTTAAATATGTGCGTGGTGATCATAATCCTTTTGTTTTATCGTAGATACCCCACCGTGTACCGGGCTGTAGCGGATACAAATGAAAAGGCCCAATGAAAGTGGTGCTGTATGTGTGTGATTCTTGACCGTGGTGATCGCTAGAAACGAACACAAGGCTTTTTACTTAATGGTATTTACGACAGACAGTGTTTATTCAGTAGAGGCCTCGGTCCATGCAACGCAAATCAGCATGACAAATGTGAATAACGAGTGGTTAAAGTTAAAAGCCGCAGCTCTACATCCTGGAGCACCTTAATTTCTGCATACATGATGTTCCGAGCAGGCCAAACATTGTGCATGACATCATCATTTGAACCGTTTGAGGGGCATTCTAGTTGTAAGCAATAGGAATGTGGCAGGTATAATGGAATTGAATATAGCAAAAGAATAATTTTGCCATATTGCTTCAGCAAAAAGAAATGCGCATCCCTTCTGTCGTCATTTGCTTTCTAACACAAAAACATTTTGTTCCTTCTTCAGGTTAGCAACGCTGATTCTATCATGGATCAACGTGGGACAAAAATCCTCACTTTAATCTAAACAAAATTAGTTTACAGTAAACGTTTACGGTGTCCCTGAGTGAGCATGCACATGTGTGTGTGCAGGCGCGGGCGCCTAAATGCCTGGTGTGCGCTTAGGTGCTGGTATGTGTGTGTGTGTGTGTGTGTGTGTGTGTGTGTGTGTGTGTGCGTGCGTGTGTGTGTGTGCGTGCGCGTTTAGGTGCTGATGTGTATTTGTGTGTGTGTGTGCATTGGCGTGCGCACCTTGACTACTCACTGTGATATAAGCCGCCTTTGTCGTACTCAGCAAATGGTTTCAGGTACATGACAAAGCGGTTTGTAAACAATCGACTTTGACAGCACAATCCAACGCGATGTTGAAATGGGAAAATAGTTTGTTTCACGATCTACATATAATATTAAGTGTAATGTATACAATTTGGCTAATCGATATATATAATCTGTATAAACATAAGTAAACAGTGTTAATATGTTTGTAAAATTAAGCTTCAGGCTCAGACAGCTTCAAGTGATCAATATTATGAGCAAAGATTCATCCGTCGGGATACGGTGACAAACCTTTCAGCGACGTCGAGTCGGACCAAGCCTCTACCTCTTACTACCACCATGGGCTGTTTTGGGTAGGCTATTAACTCCCACCCGGGAATCCCTTCTGGCTAGTTTGTTAAAACGAATAAGTTTTGTTACAGAGGTGCATGTTTACTCGAGTGCAGGATAGTACATGTATACACTTATGATTTTCATATGAAGTACAGATGTGATCGCTTCAGGGGTGCCATTCCATGAAGAGGTGTGTTTGTGTATGTCCCATAAACTCATAATCCTCTTTCTGTGTTAGCAGATAGTCCGGCCTTGTGGAACTCCCCTGAGTTGTGACTGTTTTCTGTATATAAACAATTCTATTCAACCTCTTTATCCGACGACATATTATATGAGACTATACTACACATTTTTGTATGTAAGCAGTGAGTCTATACACATTATTTTAAGGTAAGTCGTTCATACAATATCCATTGTATAAGTGTATTGCAGGGTATATATCTTTATATGCAGATATTCTGTGTAGATTCCAAGGGACCTGAAATAAACAATATGGATTTTAAACATATGCTGAGAAAAAAAAAAACTCAATTGTAAACGTTGGGTATTATATACTCCTTCCAAAAAAATGTAGGGGAACCTGAACTTTCGATTTGATAGTAAGTGTAAGTGTTAACAAACTTTTCAAAGACAGACATCTTATGAATGCACCACCATTTCACTTTTATCACCAACCCCAAACACAACGCATTGGGATTCACGGGCACAACACAGTAGTCCCATATACATACACGTGTATGGGGTGTCATTCTTGATTTCGACGGTTTACGAGGTCGAGAAATCACTATAGACCATTAATTCTGACGATCATCTTGCATCGCACAGTTCTTAGCGTTGGTTTCTAGCCGTTTTTATTATTTATTTAATTTTTTCTGTTTTTGTGTATTTTTTGTATTTTTTTTCATTTTTTTTTAATGAAAATCGTACACATGCAATTTTCACGCCAAACACCAATCATCTTTCAAGAGAGATTACTGTACAAACAAATATGGTCATAAGGAAGTGCAAGCGGTGATGCCCTCTCTCAAACATTCATAATTATCATATCAACATTGACTGACCTCGATATATCTCCCATTTTTCAATCGTAAATTAGAAATGAAATATATTACTAAAATGAGACCCACTCCCTTTATTTGCCTCTCGTCTGTCATTCTCTACTATTGGTGTTATATTTATTTCATTTACCGGTACATATTTTCCCTTTGCCTCTTTGGCATTTTCTGTTAGTATTAACAGGGAGAATATATACGGTGTTGTAGATTATCCCTGGTATTAGGTAAGACGGTAAAGGAAAATATAACATGCCTTTCGTTGTCATTTCCTTTTCGACTGGGATAAACTGGGCGTTAGTCTATATAAACTGCGCACAAATCGACTCGTGTTCCGCCTGTCTTTATCCAGTTTAAGAAATAGTGCCACGTGACCGGAAGTGTACATATTGGCGGACAAGTTTGAAAACTGTAAACAAGAGGCGACGCTTTGAGATTTGATGACTTCGTCAGTAAACAGGTACCGTTGAGACGGACGAACTGCATAGGATATCATCCTTAATATAATGATGTGCGAATAGCACAACGCAGTATTTCCGATTTGTGAGGCTGTTGGGTTGTTGTTGGCGCAGGCTAAAATTTAGCAGGTTGGTTGTTTAGCCTTTAGCCTAAAGGCCGAAGTAGTATTTGCTGCAACGAAACCAGTATTGAAAGGGATTGTGTAAACACACAAAAATATATTTTCACAATCAATAAAGTCGTTTTTTTGCATTGTGAACAAATATTGTGAACAAGCTCGCAAGAATACACCAAGTATAGCTGAAGGGGTCGTTGAAAAGAGGGCATGACCAGTGTAATAAGTTTTTATACATGCATACAAAGAAGAAACCATGACACATAAATGCAAGAGAGAACGTGTTTATTAAGAAACAACAAGTAAAATCAACCAATATATTAGAATCTATTACATGTTGGAACGCAAGTATTTATCAACATTGTTTAACTAAACATAATGTATGAAATGTACACATGATCACACATAGCGAGAGTCGATATGGACACGACAACGTATTATACAATTATACAACGCTATACAAGACCTCAAGATAAAACAACGTCGCCTTACATATATCTACGATAGTAATGCAAGTCTTACAACGTCATAGATATTCATTCTGCCATTATTCCTTCATAACATGACTTATTGTACATCATGATTAAACATTAACACTAATGGTTCTCTTAACTGGTTACCAACTCATGACGATTGAGACATTAAAACTTATTATAAATGTCTCTGAGAATTCTGTTAACAGGTTTAGCATTATTTGTGAAAGGCGTTACCGCAATGTACTGGAATGACATATTTAGTATAATGAACAAAACAACAATGCTAAAACTGTAACTTATTCAGTGAGTGTGATCTTACAAACCAGAACTAGTAGTCTGGGTGTACAAATCCTCAATAAGGTAATGTTATGTTTGAAGTCTTGCTGTTTTGTTCAACCTGAGGTGAGGCCAAACATCTTCTCATCACCGCCAGTTTGTTAAGTCAATTGTTGGAAGGTCGTTGTATGGCACCAAGGGGTTGCTAAAACAAACAGAAATGAATCAGCCTAAATTAAGTAAAGTTCAAAGTTCATGACATATCGCGTAAATGTATGTCATTCTAATCAATGCATGAAATTAGGAAATTATATACTGATACTATAATGTATTCTGACTGAGGTGATTAATTAATTAAAAGGAAAAATAAATATCTTCACTGCCTACCTGTCTTGTGTGTCAACTTTAAAAGGATCTTTTGATGGACTCAGACCCGAATTCGACAAAGAATTTTGGCAAAGCTCATTCGTCGGATTTCAGACAGTTGACCTGAAATAGCAGATGCAGTTGATAAATTTCTGTACATGCAGAGAAACAGATAGTATCACTTTACACACTTTCGTCAGCGAGCCATACCTACTGTTTGATGTCTAGATTTACGAAATCACACCAACAAACTTTAAAAAACAGTATGGTGCATTCATCTTAAATGTATATGAAATATTTCAATCTACACATATGTTGACATGCATTTTACCAAGACATGCATTTTACCAAGTGTAAACACAGACAAGATTGTACCTGGTGTAAAGCCTTTTGGGGATGTGATGTTTCAAACCAGAATGAGTCGCCATATTTAAGATCATTAAACTGTTGACCAATGAGACAAGCCAGTAGAGGGGCCCACTGCCCCGTCAGACACGTGTTCTTCAGCTACTGCACCGGTGAAGACATCGATGTCATCCGGGGATCTGAAGCAAGAACAGACTCAAGTTGGTCGTGAGAAATGACAGGGAATGGTTAGTGTAAATGTATTTCATAGATCTGTTACAATAAGTCAGAAACCCATATCACAGTCACTGGATAAACACATACCTGTATACACTTCTTAAAGCAGCTCCCGCTTTACCAAATACACTGTCATCAAATGACGTCACTTCCGGTAGCCGACATGCCTTGCGGAAGCTGTTGTAGGAAGGCAGACCATGGTCGCGACCTCTCTGAATGTTCAAGGACACGATGTCGAAGCCCTTATTGTCAGACGTCTCAAACAAGTGCTCAGTTAAACCACTGTTGATGAAGCGGTTAACCTCTTGACGTCTGTCCTTCAGGAGAGCCTTCGAGCACGGTGTCCAGATCTCTGATGACTTCAGAAGGTCTGTTGAAAAGTTGTTCTATGGGTACACGTCGATCTCCCAAGGTCAAGAAACGTGGAATGGTGGAGTGGCCGTATCTGAAGGCGGCCGAGGCAAAGACGTTGTAGATGGTGGGGTTCTGGGTGAAGTTGTACCTGAAGCTGTAGCCAGGGGTCAGTCTGTACTTCCTCATGGCCAAAGGCCCTACAATAATGGGCAGCCACTCGCGGTAGGTGATTTGTTGCATGATGGCTGACACGATCTTTCTGGCCTCTTCAAACAGGACATCATCTGGGGTGGTCGATGGCATGACATCAGCAAGTTCTTTGACCAGACGGTTGTGTTCCCTAACGAACACGGTGTGTAGCACGGACAGACCCGGAAACACATTCACACGGTCGTCACCTGAAGATGAAATTACAAACAGGTTGTCATGATGTTATGAAACCTATAATCTTCATCATTCAAAAGTAGTTACGGTCATTCACATGCGCAAAATATTATGAACAGACTCTGAGAATGCTACAACGGTTTTGAGTTAATCATTTGTACTCACCCGCTTCAAAACACCATTCGTTGCTATTGCCTGTTTGGCAGTTGCCATGGTTTGATTCTGGTAACAGGTTATCTCCCTTGGTTTTCATGTAGGCTGAAACGTTGAATGACGACATTTATTTGTGTGCACCAATTAATTTTCGAGGGTCTTCTGTCAAAATTGATCATTCTACTGTTTGCTTGGTTTTCCATCAATGAGTATATGGTTCAGGATACTGTTTGACTTACGTCCGTTCCTGAGATGACTGAGCTGATCCTCACTAAGGCCGTAGACGTTAGAGGCGTCCACGAACGCCGTCAGTAGGTTCAACTGTTCCCGAGTATCTGGAAGTGTCATGATTTCAAGTAAAACATAGGTATTATCATACAGTGCCGCTTTCTCGGGTTGTTTGTTACTTGACCCTGTGTGTTTGAGAGATTTTTGATGGTAGTACAATCCAATATTAAGGTAATAATCACAGCCTAGGTAATATCCACAGCCTGGGTAATATCCACATCTTAGTCTTTATATACTCACTCGTTCCGGGTGCTGGAGCTGATCTTTTGAACTCCATGCAGTTCCTTTGGAAATGAAGTTCATTGGATGGCATGGTGATTGGGAAACAAGGACCCCTGGAATATGGAAGAGTGAAAGGACTGAAATTTTCTTGTTCTAATCAAAAAATGTTAGGATAAGTCTTAGATGTTATTTTCACATCTTTCTTATATAATCAGAATCGTACAGTTCATTATAATTTTACTTTTACTAAAGCGACGTTTGCGGTTTGAGGATCAGTTTTTCTGTTTACCCAAACAGAATCACAAAGAATTAGAAAAAGCTTCCTGTTTCCAGGAACGAGGAGGTATTTCTGTTTACATAAAAACCAAGTAAACGTGAATTAAGTATGGAAAATAAAGAATGTTAAATGCTTACCCATTGCTTACGTCAGAATGCATCTGACCAGGTGAGTGACCATCGCAGCATTTAGTTTGAACATCACCTTGAAAGAATATATAGATCAGTAAAACAAATGCAAAGATTAAGGTGAGCATCGAAAGATGTGGAAATCTGCGGGACAAAACTAAATAGAACAATATTTTTTCTGATTTCAATATCTTAGTTTCCTTCGCGACCTTTCTGGACAACGTAAAGTCTCCAGTTTAATACGATCTTGACTGATCTTTCTTAGCAACGAGGATTCTTCGCAATCTATCTTTTGATACTGAATAGTAGACACCTGCCCCTACCTGCGTGGAGGGGAGTTCCGGTGAGGTCGTGGTCCAGAACTGTCCCCACTGCATCACCATCACTGTGCTGTCGTCAGAAGGACTGTCAGTACCCGGATGTACGGCCACACTGACAGCACGTGGACTGGGAAGGGGATGACCATCAACGCCCCTCAGTCGAGGAACAAACTTGCCTGCAAAACGTGTAGTCAGTTACAATACTAATAACGGAATAACTGATTGTCCACTTGAAAAAGTCCAATCATTGCCAGGAACGGTTAATACAACAGAAACCCTCAAGGTTGATAATGAATTACCTTGGTTATTAGCAACTTTTAATTTCAAGGCTACCGAACATTACCATCATCATAAGCAGGATCAAGAAATCTCCTGAATGGCTGGTTGGTTGATCCCCAGGTTTGCCAGCGAGCATTGTTGCATCTTCCGTCCATTGTCCGGTAGCGGGCTCCTGGTTGGCAGGCGATGAAGCGCACTCTGTGAAAGAAGATGGCATTGTCAAGGCTAATAATAACTGGTAATAATCAAATACATTAAACACTCAGCCTTCAAATGAAGTTGTCTGAAGTTGAAATCTTATAGCCACGTAGCTGACCTGATGATGGGCTTCTCTTGATACTTGACTTGCTGATGTCTTCCAAGGAGATCTGAGACGTCTCGGCGGCGTCAGCCAGTGTACAAACAACATAATTGTTGTCTTCATCATCACCTACATCAAGGTAAAGGCATTAGCTCAGGGTCAGCTGAATGGGACAATGTCAGTGTCATTTAACGTTATCTGAACTGTTTGCTTTCTTAAATTTCTAATGATGTTTCAAGAGGTGTATCATCGAAATACTTAAAAAAACAGAATTTGAACATATATCAGTCACACTTACGTCAAATATGAAAACCCTTTTACTGACAGCTTACACTGTTTTTAAAGATATCTAAGGTATTCATAAAATCCGTTTAAAAATAGAGACTCCTGCTTATGCCGTTCCTTTAATCAAGGTAGAGAGCAGTTAGATGTCCCTGACAATAACTACAACATGATCAGATTCGTCAGTTATGAATTATGATTACGGAAACACTGTTGGAAGCCCTTCTTTAAAACAATGAAACTTCTTACCATTCAAAATCCTTCGCATGATGTCCATTAGACTGTTTTCTGTCTGACGTTTGGCCATTTACGTTTCCTTGCTCGTCACCCGATGTCGATGGTGAAGTTCGTCTCTCTTGTTCAGTGGTCGTTTTGGTGTTATGGTCAATCCCAGCCAGATCTGATTGTACTGCCCTGACTGCAGAGTAGGTAAATAATTCAAGCAGCTGATATAACGAAATATGAAGTCTGTACATGAAAGAACTTTATATTTGGGAAGATTATGGTTGCAAACCATCCACAGTATATCGAAGTTGTCAGTTTGATATTAGGTAAAAAATTGGCATGATACATGTATATGAATGAATTATTTACCTTGGAATATCAAAGTACAGGCAACTAAAATAGTTCTATACCATCTTTCATTATTGCTTGCAGTGATTTGATTTAATCTTTTGAACAGTATACTCACGTTGCTTAATGACGGCTTCTATGTTGTTAACCTGTAAGGAAATAGGTTACATGGGTTAAATAATCAACCTGGGTTTGGACAGGCGTGGTATTTTTAAAGCAACTATGAACATGATACATACTGATTTCTACAGACATTCAATAATCACATCATGAGGATGATAACGATGATGAGAAGAAATGAAACATACAACTTTATGGATGACAACTTCTTATTTATTGCATAAAAGCGACGTTTCGATGTAGATTCTTACATCGTTATCAAGCTAAAAGCTAACGATGTAAGAATCTACATCGAAACGTCGCTTTACACAATACATAAGAAGTTGTCATCCATAAAGTTGTATGTTTCCATTTCTGAGTCACCAACTTCTAGAATGCCCATCAAACAATGATGATGAGAAGAAAAAGAACAAGAAGGAGAAAAGGAGGAGAAGAAGCACCCAATTCAGTTAATTTCTGTGGCATTTACAAGCGGTATGATGAAGAGGAGCAATTTTAATTGCAATAGATGCGACGTTTTGGTGTAGATGCAAGTGATATCACCTTAATAACTGTGTTAGCATCTACACCGAAACGTCACATGTATTGCAATAAAGAAGCTGCCTATCCATAAAAACTGATCCTCTTCGTCATACTCACTGTTCACATTCCCTGCAGACACATCGGTGAAGATGAAGAAGAACCATTAATGGTACATAGATACAGACTTTCAGACGAATACTGAAGAGGATGAGAAGAACCAGCTTACCTCAGTGTCCGCCTCCCCAGCAGACACCACCGTCAGGATACACACTAACAACAGCACTTTCATCGTTTCTGCTTCTGTCCAGTATACAGTGGAAATACTGACGCACCAAAGTTTAGACCTTGTATATATACTCATATCCCTGGATTAAGTCGACACAGATTACCGTTTCATCGGCTGACCCCTGGTGGGCTTAATCTGACATATCCACGTAGGAGGTGCTAAACATCTTGGATGAGGTTGACGCAAGATGATTATCCCGGAGCAGCGTCATTACCGCCATTGTTCTTGGTGTCGTGTACAAACATCAATAACAAGGCAGTCAATGTCAATTCTTTATTTACCTTTAGCTGTACAGCAAATCGGCGATGAACATGAAAATTTACATTCTTTGTACAGACTGGGTGGTTGGTTTGGTATAAGCATATGGAGAATTTAGTGCAAACACATTTTACAATAAATTTCGTCTTAACTTTGAAGCCTTGAATGGAAATTTACCAAGATTACCGAGTTGTATAACATTTTGGTTACTTATGAGCTGCACAAGTTTGAAAACTGATGGATTTTTCCAATAGTAAGGCAAAATGTATAATTTCCTTAAATGATAAACAGGACATTTTAAAACAAAATGGAATTCATCCTCTATATCACTGGAACAGTATAGGCATGTTCCAATGTTTATGTCAATATTATTATACCTTCCTGTTTCAATATATAACTTATGGGCAGAGAGTCGGAATTGAGACAAATATTTTGTCCACGATAACTCTTCGAGTCAGAAGTATCACCTTTTTAGGAAACCGAAACAATTACAGCTGAAGAGAAAACTATCCAGCAGATAAAACACAAATAAAGATTTTGATCAGTCGAGGTAATAAATATTATTTACTCAGATTTAATCAGATTTGCATTAGGAGGTGCTTGTGGTGTGCATCCTTTAGAGATATCTCCTAGTATATCACCTAGTATCTCCTAGTGGTTGTAGCTGAATCGAGAGAATGTGTTCCAGCAAATATTTCATGAATTGAATAATTAACATACAAAATGTGTCAAGTACCCTTTAATATTTTTTGAGCTTTTCCACAAAATATGCCATTCAACCATATACATGTAGTTTTAGCCTCCTCATCATGCATTATGTTCTCTTCGATATTACTCCCACCTTCTGTGGTCTGGCTAGACTCTGAAGATAAATTTCTATTTCTATACAGTAACTGTGAAATTATTGATGTGAAATGATGATTTATTCCCAAATCAGTGACTTTGAAGTCACCATGTGCATTTTCAGTTCGATGTTCCCTTGTTCCCCACATATTTTACCAAGCTTCGTGTAAATTCATATTGTTCCACATTGTGTTTTATTCATTCATATATGGTACACATTGTCCAGACAGCGTTTAATGTAAATTCATACAGGACGCATTGTACCAAACAGTGTTTCTATGTATTCATACAGTACACATTGTCCAAGCAGTGCGTCCTTTACATTGTCCCAAACAGTGTTTTATCTAAATTCATATTGTACACATTGTACCAAACAGTGTTTCTATTCAGCTATACAGTACACATTGTCCAAGTAATGCTTTCTTTACATTCTCCCAAACAGTGTTTTATGTAAATTCATATTGTACACATTGTACCAAACAGTGTTTCTATTCATTTATACAGTACACATTGTCCAGACAGTGCTTTCTTTAAATTGTCCCAAACAGTGTTTTATGTAAATTCATATTGAACACATTGTACACATTGTACCAAACAGTGTTTCTATTCATTTATACAGTACACAATGTCCAGACAGTGCTTTCTTTACATTGTTCCAAACAGTGTTTTATGTAAATTCATATTGTACACATTGTACCAAACAGTGTTTCTATTCATTCATACAGTACACATTGTCCAGACAGTACAGTCCCTGTTAGTCTCGATTTTCCCAGCTAATGCTTCCTGAGTATAGTTCCCATTGTCCAGGATATCGCTTCCTCTACATGTATACAGGGGCTACAACGAATCCACTCTGATGCGAATATGATATATGACATGAATACGGTGTAATAAATACAACAGCAAGGCAGCAGTATACATGTCATTCATGCCCTCAGTGAGACAATAACACAATACTTATTGGACCTATTTTGACCCTGTTGACAGTGTTGATTTATCACGTCAATGTCATCATTGTTAGATTTGTTCTGGATGAGACGGGAAATCTGATGAGTGGCAGGACTTTGGTAGGGTGTGGTGATTCTGAGGGGCCATGGGGCAGGTTTGAGTCCAGGATCGGAGTTCTTGAGGGTCTTGCGGATGGTTTGGGAGACTAATTGGCCTGGTAACTGTTGAGGGAACTGGCAAATGAATCCATGCATTTGGTTCACATTTTCCCAGGAATTGCTTAGTACATAACTACTTGCAAATGGTTCCTATTTTGCAGACCAGTGTTTTATAGACGTGCATATGAGGATGTATGCATTGACACAGCAATGCCTCCTTTACATGCATGTAGTTAACATAACCACATACATTGCTTCCTTTACGTGTATACAAACATACATGTCGAAATAATATTTGCCTTCATTTTTGCGCTCCAAAAGTTTGTTAACAAATTCCCTATGGATGAAGAAATGCAGTTTTTCCTGACGTTTTTCGTGTTGGAAACTGATGTACAAAGTCAACATGTCACATGATCTGGACGTATGCTCGAACCGACATACATTGATGTGTGTAGCTTGTGTTATATAGGTAGGTGAAGTTAAACATAGTAACATTTGAATGAAAATAACTTGATATTGATATCATTAATCCACATGGGGCATAACATGATTTAAGTGTTAAGAATCATTTTCCAGTAAATCAGTATAAATGATATGCGGCCGTTGTGGATCGGTGCTCGAGCCATGTTTGTTGCGGAAGCAAAATATCCCGTAATCCTCTGTGACTTAGAATAACCCGTGATAGGTTTACATACTGTTTTGATAACAAACGAGGGACTATTTCAGTGAATGCGCTTTGGGCGTGTCGTCATCAAGTTTAATCGCTGTAAAGTGTGGTGTGAACCATCAGTAATGAGACAGTTAGTAATCCGCTTCTCATCAAGAGTTCTTGACATGAATTGTAGGCAGGTGTTGGGAGACAAATATACTGAAGTTGTTACCGCGTTTTATGTCTGAATGATATTCCAATCCAAGCGATGAGTGAAGTAATACACATAAAATATGTGTCTATCATAGATGGTAAAATATAAATCTCAATGAAACAGTTTATAGACAATAACCGATCCATTTTCCAGTGACTACACTAACAAAAGCTGCTACCACTGACACTAACACTAACACTAACACTAACACTAACACTAACACTAACACTAGCATCAAAAGAGACGCAAAAATCTCTACCGGAATCCCGCTTGGTAAAAGCGTGGGGAACAAGGGAACTCCATATCGAACTGAAGATGTACCCACAGAGCACTGACTTCCCAATTTCACATCAGCAATCTCACAGTTACTGTCTAGAGAAAGCCCTATATCCTCAATGTAGCAAGACCACAGAAGTAATATTCAAGTAGACATAAATGAATGATGTGCAAGCTAAGACGACATGGCAGAACGCCATATTTTGTGTGGAAATGCTCATAACATACTCGAAGTAACGTGGCTCAAAAATGACTTCATCATTCAAATCCTGAAACATTTGCTGGAACACTTTCACTCGATTCCGTTATAACAACAAGGAGATAGCTCTCAAAGATGCATCTCACAAACACCTCCTGGTGCGAATCAGATTACCAACTGTCTTGCTACTGAAGTCGATTCACGACACCAAGAACAATAGTGGTAATGACGCTGCTCCAGGACAATCAGCCTGCGTCGGCATAATCCAAGATGTGTGACTCCTCCTGTGTAGAGATGTCGGATTATGCCCACCAGGGGTCAGCCGATCATTCCGTAATCTGTGTCCACTTAATCCAGGGATATGAGTATATATACAAGGCATAAACTTTGGTGTATCAGACATTCCCACAGCGTACTGGACAGAAGCAGAAACGATGAAAGTGCTGTTGTTTGTGTGTATCTTGACGGTGATGTCTGCCGGGGAGGCGGACACGGAGGTAAGCTGGTTCTTCTCTTCTTCTTCATCTTCCCTGTTGTGTTTCCTTCTTCTTCTCCTTCTTGTTCTTTTTTTTCTCATCATCGTTAGCATCATCATGATGCGATCCTTGAATGTGTGTAGAAATCAGTATGTATTTATCATGGTTATAGATTTGTGGTTCTGAAGTTGCCTTTTCTCGTCACGTTCAACGTTACAGGTGGATATCTTGCTTTTTTAAAAACACCACTTCTGTTTTATCCCAGGTTGATCGTTTAACCTCTGTTACCTGTTTCCTTTTAGGTTAACAACATTGATTCCGTCATTGAGCAGCGTAAGTAAAGTTTTATTAACTCTTGAAAGCAACTGTAACATGTTGTTTCAAACTTTTTTAGCTCCCCGTACTTAGGTATATCTCAAGCAGCAAGCATTATGTTAAATATTTCATTTATAAATATGTCAACATTTTTGCTAAATATAATACTGACTGCTTCGATATACATATGAATATTTTATATTTTGTAATATATTTCTCTTCCCAAATATAGCATGTATTTATGTACTGATGTCATGCCTGTATCAGCTGATTGAGTAACTTACCTTCCCTTCAGTCAGGGCAGTACAATCAGATCTGGCTGGAATCAACCATAAGACCCACACAACCATGGATCATGAGAGGCGAACTTCGCCATCGACTTCGGGTGACCGACAAGGAAACGTTAATGGCCAATCGTCAGATAGAGAAAATAGACTAATAGACATCATGCGAAGAATTCTGCATGGTAAGAAGTCTCATTGTTCTACATTGAGGCCTTCCAAAACTGTTTCATTATTAACAATCTGACAACTTGGTTAACTGACAAATCAAACTGGTCATACTCTACTTATTGTCAGGGACATCTTAAGAGTCTCTGCCAATATTAAAGCAGCCCTTACGTGTATGCAACGAATTAAAATGTCCTCTAAAACTCTTTTGAAGCAATATGACTTATAAGGGACATTGTATTCCAAACTGTTTCAGAGGTTGGAACATTTCTGACATTACGCCTCTTGAAACATCATATTAATTTCAGACTAGTAATCAGTTCCGTTATGTTAAGACAGCGGGTCATGAGTTAATGCCTTTATCTTGACGTAGGTGATGATGTAGACAACAATTATGTTGTTTGTACACTGGCTGACGCCGCCGAGACGTCTCAGATCTCCTTGGCAGACATCAGCAAATCCAAGTATCAAGAGCGACACAACATCAGGTCAGTTACACAGTTCCCAGGACGATAGTTGTATTTCAAGACACCTTCTCTTGAAGGTGAGTGTTTAATGTAGTTGATACCAGTTACTATTAGTTTTGACAATGCCAACTACTTTTACAGACGGCGCTCCACCGCCTGCCAACAAGAAGCCCGCTACCGGACAATGGATGGAAGATGCAACAATGCTCGATGGCCAACCTGGGGATCAACCAATCAACCATTCAGGAGATTTATTGATCCTGCTTATGATGATGGTAATGCATCAGTAGTTTTTTAATATCATATGTTTCAGGTATAAGAACTTAAAGTTGATAATTTCATGATAATAATCAAGGTAATTCTTGACTTTAAATGGCATTTAGAAGTGATACACATAAGGGAGAGAGTTTTTGAAGGATGTCCACTTTTTTATTATGATGAACACAACGTGCATAAAGAAGGAAGGAAGGAAAACTCTCTTCCTTACGGTAATTCATGATCAGACCTGACTATCTGACCTTGCATGACTGCACGGTTTCTGCTGTATTAACCGTTTCTGGCAATTATTGGACTTTTTCATGTGGACATTCAGCCATTTTGTTATTTGTATTATAACTGAATACACGTGGTTTTGCAGGCAAGTTTGTTCCTCGACTGAGGGGCGTTGATGGTCATCCCCTCCCCAGTCCACGTGCTGTCAGTGTGGCCGTACATCCGGGTACTGACAGTCCTTCTGACGACAGCACAGTGATGGTGATGCAGTGGGGACAGTTCCTGGACCACGACCTCACCGGAACTCCCCTCCACGCAGGTAGGTGCTGGGTGTCTAATATCCTGTATCCAAATATAGATAGCAAAGAATCTTTGTTGGCAATATAGATTAGCCAAGATAATATTAAATGGAAGGTGGTTTGTCATGGCTTGATGTTGTCCAGAAGGAGACCTGAGATGTTGAAATCAGATCTATTTCCTATTTGTAAACCAAATTTCCATCGCTTTCATCATTACGATTTTCACCTTAATCTTTGTATTTGTTTTACTGATCTATATATTCTTTCAAGGTGATGTTCAAACTAAATGCTGCGATGGTCACTCACCTGGTCAGATGCATTCTGATGTACGAACTGGGTAAGCATTTAACATTCCGTATTTTCAATGCTTTATTCATGTTTAATTGCTTTTTATATAAACAGAAATACCTCGTCGTTAAAGTTGAAATATCCAGGAAACAGGAAGCTTTTTTTCCATTTCTTTATGGTTCTGTTTGGGTAAACAGAAATAAAATTATAATGAACTGTACGATTCTGATTATATAAAAAGGGATCTGAAAATTATCCTAACATTTGTTTGATTGGAACAGGAAAATTTCAGTCCTTTCACTCTTCCATGTTCCAGGGGTCCTTGTTTCCCTATCACCATGCCATCCAATGAACATCATTTCCAAAAGAACTGCATGGAGTTCAAAAGATCAGCTCCAGCACCTGGAACGAGTGAGTATATAAAGACTAAGATGTGGATATTACCTAGGCTGTGGATATTACCTTAGCTTCATATTGGATTGTACTACCATCACTAATCTCTCAAATACACGGGGTCAGGTAAACCGAGTATAACACTGCATGATAACACCCATGTTTCATTTTCATGTCACTTCCAGATACTCGAGAACAGTTGAACCTATTGACGGCGTTCGTGGACGCCTCTAACGTGTACGGCCTTAGTGAGGATCAGATCAGTCATCTCAGGAACGGACGTAAGTCAGACATGATTTTGAAAAATATACTCATTGATGAAAAACCAAATAAACAGAAGAATGATAAATTTTGACAAAAGACCCTCGAATATCATTGGTACATACAAATAAATGTTCTCATTCAACCTTTCAGCCTACATGAGAACCAAGGGAGATAACCTGTTGCCAGAATCAAACCATGGCGGCTGTCAAACAGACAATAGCAACGAATGGTGTTTTGAAGCGGGTGAGTACAAAGGATAAACTCAATTCATTGTAACATTCTCAGGGTCTGTTCATAATATTTTTTCTTAAGTGAATGACAACAATTACCATCTCCAGTTTTGAATAATGTAGATTATTGGTTTCATAACATCATGAAAACCTGTAACTTCATCTTCAGGTGACGACCGTGTGAACGTGTTCCCGGGTCTGTCCGTGCTACACACCGTGTTCGTTAGGGAACACAATCGCCTGGTCAAAGAACTTGCTGGTGTCATGCCATCAACCACCCCAGATGATGTTCTGTTTGAAGAAGCCAGAAAGATCGTGTCAGCCATCATGCAACAAATCACCTACCGCGAGTGGCTGCCCATTATTGTAGGGCCCTTGGCCATGAGGAAGTACAGACTGACCCCTGGCTACAGCTTCAGGTACAACTTCACCCAGAACCCCACCATCTACAACGTCTTTGCCTCGGCCGCATTCAGATACGGCCACTCCACAATTCCACGTTTCTTGACCCTGGGAGATCGACGTGTACCCATAGAACAACTCTTCAACAGACCTTCTGAGGTCATCAGAGATCTGGATACCGTGCTGAAGGCTCTCCTGAAGGACAGACGTCAAGAGGTTAACCGTTTCATCAACAGTGGTTTAACTGAGCACTTGTTTGAGACGTCTGACAATAAGGGCTTCGACATCGTGTCCTTGAACATTCAGAGAGGTCGCGACCATGGTCTGCCATCATACAACAGCTTCCGCAAGACATGTCGGCTACCGGAAGTGACCTCATTTCATGACAGTGTATTTGGTAAAGCTGGAGCTGCTTTAAGAAGTGTATACAGGTATGTGTTTATCCAGTGACTGTTATATGTGCTCTGACTTATTGTAACACATCTATGAAATACATTTACTTAAATCATTCCCTGAGATTTCTCAAGGCCTATTTGAGTCTGTTCTTGCTTCAGATCCCCGGATGACATCGATGTCTTCACCGGTGCAGTAGCTGAAGAACACGTGTCTGACGGAGCAGTGGGCCCTCTACTGGCTTGTCTCATTGGTCAACAGTTTAATGATCTCAAATATGGCGACTCATTCTGGTTCGAAACATCACATCCAAGAAAAGGCTTTACACCAGGTACAATCCTGTCTGTTTTTCACTTATTCAGCGTTTATGTGCGCTATATAAATATCCTATAATAATAAATAAAAAATATATAGAAAAAATAAATAAATAAATAAATTATGTCTCCGTAAATGCTTGTCAAAATATGGTAGATTATGATATTTGACATACCTTTAAGATCAATGTGCTATATTGTTATTTGAATTTTGTTTGTCTATCTGTTTCTCTGCACATGTAGAGAAATTTATCAACTGCATCTTATGTTTCAGGTCAACTGTCTGAAATCCGACGAATGAGCTTTGCCAAAATTCTTTGTCGGAATTCGGGACTCACGTCCATCCAAAGGGATCCTTTTACAGTGTTCTCGGAAGAAAGGTAGGCAATGAGGATATCTATCTGTTCTCATCGAAGCATGAGTGAGTGAGTTTAGTTTTACGGCGCACTCAGCAATAATCCTGCTATATGGCGGCGGTCGGTAAATAATCGAGTCTGGACCAGACAATCCAGTGATCAACAGCATGAGCATCGATCTACGCAATTGGGACACCATGACGTGTCAAGCAAGTCAGCGAGCATCCGATCCCGTTAGTCGCCTCTTACGACAAGCATGGGTTACTGAAGATCAATTGTAACCCAGATCTTCACGGGTACTGTAGCATGAGGATATATTTTCATTATTTCATGCATTTGCTGGAACGACATACAGTCACTTGATGTGTGACCAATATATATTTCAGTAAAAGATAATAATTATTGTACTCGGGACCCATTCTATACTGATGATGCACGTTGAATATGCATAGCTTCTTCAGTTATTGAGTATACAAATGTCTAACAATATCACATAATGTGTGTTTTAGCAATCCCATGGTACCCTGCAACGACCTTCCTACAATCGATTTAACCAAATGGCGGAGATGATTGACCCGCTCTCACGTCAAAATCCGAAGACTTCAACATAATATATAACCTTAGTGTGAGTTGTACCGACTTGTGCATCCACGCTAATGGTTCTGGGTGTCGTTGTACAAAGCGATCTTAGTGCTAAGGTGACCGTAACTCCCATACCTTAACATAGACTTAAGGTAGTCTTAGCGCTAAGGTTGTTTTGAACAACAGCACCCTGGTTCGTAAGATGTATCAATAACTGGAACCTTTGAATCTCCACCATACTAAACATGTAATTCAAAGTACATTTAGCAACCGCTTTCCAAACATATTTGCTAAAATTATTAACTGAAAGCTCAGAAACAATTATGATTGTTTCTGATACTTACACTTCAAGATACCTGAATGAGTTGATAACCAATTAAATTCAGTGATGCCATTTAATCATTGTTTACAATAAGCCATTGCATGGCGTTGATGATTTCTTATATTAGTATTTACAGTATTGATATTGATGACACATTTTAATTTCATCGAGAGTGTAATCATATTCTAGGTGGAAGACTTGCATTTGTTCTAGACCTTATACTCGGATTTAAGGTGTATATAATATTTCAAGGCCTTATATGGTAATGTGTAATATATTGTTGCTGTCGTTCCCATATCAAGTATCGCTATGTGAGATCCTGTCTAACATTCATATATCATGTTTAATAGAAATAGTGTTGATAAATACGTGTGTTCCATCATGCATTAAATTGTATTATGGTTATGTTTTTAATAAACACGTTGTCTTTTGCTTTACTGTTTCATAGTCTTTTCATTTGTTGATTTTGTTTACTTCATCTGCCTATTGGTAGGTTGAATGGCGCCTTGATACATTTCACATGTTTGGCACCATAACACAGTTTCAAGGGTCTGACTCGGGTGGAACAAAACCCGATGACTTCGACCATGATATTTCCTTATTGTGAGTTGTTCCGACATGTACACCCACACTGATGGTTCTGGTTCGTAAGATGCATTATTACCTTCTACAAATAATGCTGATATAGTAACCGGCATCTCGGATAAAATTATATATAATTGTTATAATCATAATTATAACAGCTTAAGAAACCCGGATGAGTTGGTAACCAGATAAATAAAATCATTAATGATGCCGTCAGAAAGTATCATCATAGTGTACAGCTAGCCATCGTATGTCTCTAATATCTATATATTGACAGTATTAATATACTGACATTGCATATTATATATATTGACATTCTTCCATATATTCATATTCTAATTGTAAAACCCATTTCTGGTCATATTGCTGGAATATAGCAAAAAAAGCGGCGAAAACTATACACACTCACTCACTATTTGTAAAACTTTACATTATGTTGTAGATGTATGTAAGGGGTATATTATATCCAGATCCTTTATCAATGTATATTAATTGTTGCTGTCGTTCCCATGTCAACTATGGCTAAGTGTGATCGTGTGTACAATTCATATATCATTATGAATAGAAACAATGTTGACACATTTTTGTGTTCAATAATGTATTAAATGTTGGTCGATTTTACATATTTTACTTGTAATAAACTAGCAATGGCTGCATTTGTGCTTTTTTCCATTTATATTAATCCATCTACCGTTTGGTAGATTCAATGGCGCCTTCATATGTTTCACATAAGTGTGGTACCATAACATAGTTTCCAGGAAACAAATTGTTGACAATACACCTTATATACACATCTCTTTTCTCTAACACTCACTCCTATACGCACATGCATAAGATCGTGTGTACATTAGCATAGGGGGTGCCTCCTTTCCAAGCAAATACGGTAGTTTACATTGACCCATGCATTGCTTCCAATTGTCCAAAACAGTGCTTAATGTAAGTTCATATAGTATACGTTGTATTAAACAGTGCTTCTTGTACAGTCATATAGTACACATTGTCCAGACAGTGATTCCTGTACATTGTCCCAAACAGTGCTTCTTGTACAGTCATATAGTACACATTGTCCAGACAGTGATTCCTGTACATTGTCCCAAACAGTGCTTCTTGTACAGTCATATAGTACACATTGTCCAGACAGTGATTCCTGTACATTGTCCCAAACAGTGCTTCTTGTACAGTCATATAGTACACATTGTCCAGACAGTGATTCCTGTACATTGTCCCAAACAGTGCTTCTTGTACAGTCATATAGTACACATTGTCCAGACAGTGATTCCTGTACATTGTCCCAAACAGTGCTGCCTGTAGATTCATATGGTACACATCGTACAGTATGTTTTTCTATTCATTCATACAGTACACATTGTCCAGACAGTACAGTTCCTGTTGGTCTCCATTTACCCAGCTAGTGCTTCCTATGTATAGTTCCCATTGTCCAGGATATTGTTTCCTGTACATGTATACAAGGGTTTCACTTCTCTCTAATCTTCTCCCTAATCTTTCATTTCCTTATGAGCGGCAAGTACATTTAACGTCTGAAAAAATAATTCATGACAAAACATATTTTTTTTAATCTAGAGTATAAGCTTTTACCCTCTGGCCGCTGCCAATCACCACGAGCTCGAACGTCTTTTATTAAGTATTGCAATTTTAAATAAACGTTGAATGTCCAGTTATCACTTATTTTTAAGCACATATTTATTTATTTCTATATTTTCAGTAATTCATATTTTATGTTGTGATTCATTTGTATTTTTCTCAAGTTCTGTGGGCCAGAACGAATTTCTTTTAAGGTAATATAGTAAAGTATTCTCTATATAGTTCACAATGTATCAAACAGGGCTTCCTGTACAATCATATAGTTCACACTGTAACAAACAATGCTTCCTGTACAAATATATAGTTCACACTGTAAGAAACAGGGCTTCCTGTACAATCATATAGTTCACACTGTATCAAACAGTGCTTCCTGTACAATCATAAAGTTCACACTGTATCAAACAGTGCTTCCTGTACAATGATATAGTTCACACTGTATCTGTATCAAACAGTGCTTATTGTACAATCATATAGTTCACACTGTACCAAACAGTGCTTCCTGTACAATCATATAGTTCACATTGTACCAAACAGTGCTTCCTGTACAATCATATAGTTCACATTGTACAAAACAGTGCTTCCTGTATAATCACATAGTTCACATTGTACCAAACAGTGCTTCCTGTACAATCATATAGTTCACATTGTCTTAAACAGTGCTTCCTGCACAATCATATAGTTCGCACTGTATTAAACAGTGATTCCTGCACAATCGTATAGTTCACATTGTACCAAACAGTGCTTCCTGCACAATCATATAGTTCACACTGTACCAAACAGTGCTTCATGTTCAACAATATACTAACTTCACAAGGTAACAAACAGTGCTTCCTGTTGAAAAATATAGTGCACGTTATAGCTAAAATGGATAGAATTATCATTAAAACGCCCGCATGCTATCAGAAATGAGCCGGACACTGTAACTTTATAATGCCCCCAAATTGCTTGACGGCGGGCCATTATCAGGCCCGTTGTTAGTTGACGGCATAAGGAGCTCAGCTCTTGATGTTCAATCATTTACGGCTCGTTTGAATTTGGGTTCAATATTGACAATATTTCTGACTCACATTCATCACATGTGCAACCTTAAAAATTGTACCATAAATTACAACATGCAGCAATAAAAACATCGACTGGAACTCTAGCGTTGTTGAGCATTGAAGAAAATGTCGGCTGGTAGTATGGGCGAAGGTCAAGGTCGAATGTCGTCACGCTCAACGGTGACGTCATCTGTTTTGTTCTATTATGTTTGTTGTTAGCAGTAGATGTTTCAAAACCAATACCGATTTTTCTTTTTATTCATTGAAATGAAAATTATAAAGCTATAATAACGGTATATGAGGGTAACGCTATTTTTTCAGGGCATTATCATTTTCAGAAGCCCTCGGTCTTTTCAACTGCCCTTCTTTCCTCGGGCACTTAATGTAAGACCTCGGGCTTCTGCAAATGATAATGCCCTGAATATAGCGTTACCCTCATATTGTAACAAGTGCTGCTTTCCTTAGTTCACATTGTGACAGTTCTTCCTGTTCAACAATATACTTCACATTGTGACAGCGCTTCCTGTTCAACAATATAGTGCACATTGTAACAATCGGTGCTTTCTTTACAATCATATAGTTCACATTGTACCAAACAGTGCTTCCTCTACAATCATATAGTTTACATTGTACCAAACAGTGCTTCCTCTACAATCATATAGTTCACATTGTACCAAACAGTGCTTCCTCTACAATCATATAGTTTACATTGTACCAAACAGTGCTACCTCTACAATCATATAGTTCACATTGTACCAAACAGTGCTTCCTCTACAGTCATATAGTTTACATTGTACCAAACAGTGCTTCCTGTACATCGCCCCAAACAGTGCGTAATATAAATTCATATCGTACACATTGTACCAAACATTATTTCTATTCAGTCATACAGTACACACTGTCCAGACAGAACAGTTCCTGTAAGTCTCGATTTTCCTAGCTAATGCTTCCTCTGTACAGCCCACATTGTCCAGGATACTGCTTCCTATACATGCACATTATGGCTACAACGAGTCCACTGGATAGGAACTATAGGATTGTACATCGAGCACTGTTTCGTACATGAAAACTAAATGATTGTAGATCAAGCACTGTTTGGTACAATTTAAACTACAGGATTGTACAGGAAGCACTGTTTGGGATATAGTGTATCCTATACATGTACAGAGAGCACGTTTGGTACAATGAAAAAAGAAGATGGATTTAACAAAACCGAACAAATGAAGAGACTATGAAACAAAAATACAAGCGATAATGTGTTTATTACAAAATATAATTTGTAAAACCAAGTATGTGTCAACATTGATTCAAACATGATACATGAATTGTACACACGATCACACATAGCCATAGTTGATATATTATGTATAATTCTAAGATGTTTAGCTAAAAGATCAAAGGCACCGACTGTACTTTATCAGGTGCAAGCGTCCTCATACTTTAACTATAATAGTTCAGGGCAAAAGTGTGCTTCATTACACTATACATGGTAGTAGAGCGAACTGTATTTCTTAGATATAATATACCCCTTACATAGATCTACAATATAATGTAAAGTTTTACAAATAGAATATGACTATACCATCGGAAAAAAAATATTTCATATACAATGTCATAAATATTAATGCTGCCACTTTATAGATATGAGGAACATTGAACGAGATGCGATGGCTGCTTTTGCACTATAATTAAACACTCTGACGGTGTCACTAATGGTTCAGTTGTTACTACCAACTCATTCCGGTTTCGTAAGTCGTAAATATTAAAAATAAATATAATTTTATCTTAGATGCCGGTTATTATTGTCAGTATTATTTGTGGAAGGTGATACCGAAATGTATTTGGAATTACGTGTATAGTATGATGATATTCAAATATGTTAAAACTTCACTTATTCAGTGATTAATCTTACAAACCAGAACGAGCAGTGTGGATGTACTGGTCGGAACAACTCACAATAAGGTAATATAAAGTTCGAACTCTTAGGGTTTTGTTCTACCTGAGTCAGACCCTGCAAAACTATGTTATGGTACCAAACATATGTGAAACGTATGAAGACGCCATTAAACCTACCAAAAAGGTTGATGAAGTAAACAACATCAGCAAATGAAAAGACTATGAAACAAAAAAAAGCAAATGACAACGTGTTTATTAAAAAAATAGACATGTCAAATCAATTAACATAATACATTTTAATACATATTGGAACACAAGTATTGATCAACATTGGTTCTATCAACATGATATATGAATTGTACACGTGATCACACATATTGATATTTGATATGGGAACGACATGAACAATATATTACACATTACCTTATAAGGCCTTGAGATATTATAAAACCGGTAACCCTTTTACAGATATACAAAATGAGGCAAGTTTTACATCTAGGATATGATTATACCCTCGGTGATATTACAAAGTTTCACAAATATTTATACCCTCAATACTAACATAAGCATTATGAAAAGTCATCCAATGACATATTGTACACTATGATTAAACAGCGTCACTGAAGGGTTCACTTGGTTGCCAACTCATAATGGTTTCTTGAAGTGTAAGTATTAGAAACAATTATAATTGTATCTGACATTTCAGTTATTAATATTAGCATTATTTATGGAAGGCGATACCTAAAGGTACTTGGATTTACATAGTTAGTGTAAATGAAGATTCAATATTTTCAGTTATTGATGCATCTTACGAACCAGAACCATTAGCGTGGGTGACCATATCGATACAACTCACACTATGGTAATATGTTTGAAGTCTTCGGGTCTTGTTCATCCCTCAGGGCAGGTAAAACATCTTCTCATCTCCGCCATTTTGTTAAATCGATTGTGGGAAGGTCGTTGCAGTGCACCATGGGATTGCTAAAACATACAGAATTGTACCACCCCATTATAATATATTCATTGCCCTAAGCAAATATCATATGATATTGTTTTACATTTGTATACTAAATAACTGAAAGACGCTAGGTATTTTCTGTATAGAAGACTGTCTGACGTTCTAGCCAATGCATGAAATAAGGAACATATACCCTCATGCTACGGTACCCGTGAAGATCTGGGTTCGAATTGATCTTCAGTAATCCATGCTTGTCGTAAGAAGCGGATAACGAGATCGGGTGCTCGCTGACATGGTTGTCACATGTCATCGTATCCCAATTGCTCAAGCTGTGCTCAACCTGTTGATCACTGGATTGTCTGGTCCAGACTCGATTATTCACAGACCGCCGTCACATAGCCGGAATATTGCTGAGTGCGGCGTAAAACTAAACTCACTCACTCATGTTATGGTGCATTCTGACTGAGATAGTTAATGTCAAAGAGAACAGGTGGATGTCTTCACTGCCTACCTTTCTTCTGAGTACACTGTAAAGGATCTCTTTGGATGGACGTCAGTCCCGAATTCCGACAAAGAATTTTGGCAAAGCAAATTCGTCGAATTTCAGCCAGTTGACCTGAAAAAAAACATGCAGTAGATAAATTTCTCTGCAGAGAAAAAGATACCTTCACTTTCCACACTATCGACTAAGAACCATACCTACTGTTTGATGTCTAGATTTACGAAATCACACAAACACAATTTATATAACAGCATCCCGAATTCATCTTAAATGTATATTAAATAATTTAATATACACGTATTTTTGCATGCATTCTACCAAACAATTTGAAATTAGCACAAAAGTACAAAAACAGACACTATTGTACCTGGTGTAAAGCCTTTTCTTGGATGTGATGTTTCGAACCAGAATGAGTCGCCATATTTGAGATCATTAAACTGTTGACCAATGAGACAAGCCAGTAGAGGGCCCACTGCTCCGTCATACACGTGTTCTTCAGCTACTGCACCGGTGAAGACATCGATGTCATCCGGGGATCTGAAGCAAAAACAGACTCAAATAGGCCTTGAGAAATGACAGGGAATGGTTAAAATAAATGTATTTCATAGATTTGTTACAATAATCACATATAACAGTCACTGGATAAACACATACCTGTATACACTTCCTAAAGCAGCTCCCGCTTTACCAAATACACTGTCATCAAATGACGTCACTTCCGGTAGCCGACATGCCTTGCGGAAGCTGTTGTATGATGGCAGACCATGGTCACGACCTCTCTGAATGTTCAAGGACACGATGTCAAAGCCCTTTTTGACAGACGTCTCAAACAAATGCTCAGTTAATCCACTGTTGATGAAGAGGTTAACCTCTTGACGTCTGTCCTTCAGGAGAGCCTTCAGAACGGTATCCAGATCTCTGATGACCTCAGAAGGTCTGTTGAAGAGTTGTTCTATGGGTACACGCCGATCTCCCAGGGTCAAGAAACGTGGAATGGTTGAGTGGCCGAATCTGAAGGCGGCCGAGGCAAAGACGTTGTAGATGGTGGGATTCTGGGTGAAGTTGTACCTGAAGCTGTAGCCAGGGGTCAGTCTGTACTTCCTCATGGCCAAGGGCCCTACATTAATGGGCAGCCACTCGCGGTAGGTGATTTGTTGCATGATGGCTGACACGATCTTTCTGGCCTCTTCAAACAGAACATCATCTGGGGTGGTTGATGGCATGACACCAGCGAGTTCTTTGACCAGACGGTTGTGTTCCCTAACGAACACGGTGTGTAGCACGGCCAGACCCGGGAACACGTTCACACGGTCGTCGCCTGAAGATGAAGTTACAAACAGGCTGTGATAATGTTATGAAACCTATGATCTTCATAACTGGACATAATAGTTATGGTCATTCACATACGACAAATAGTATGAAAAGAATCTGAGAATGTTACTACGAATTTGTACTCACCAGCTTCAAAACACCATTCGTTGCTATTGCCTGTTTGGCAGTTGCCATGGTTTGATTCTGGCAACAGGTTATTTCCCTTGGTTTTCATGTATGCTGAAAAGTTGAATGACGACATTTATTTGTATGTACCAATGACTTTCGAGGGTCTTCTGTCAAAATTTACCATGCTTCTGTTTACTTGGTTTTCCGTCAATGAGTATATGGTTCAGAATACTGACTTACGTCCGTTCCTGAGATGACTGAGCTGATCCTCACTGTGGCCGTAGACGTTAGAGGCGTCCACGAACGCCGTCAGTGTGTTCAATTGTTCTCGAGTATCTGGAAGTGACAACCTTTTGATTAAAACATGGGTGTTGGCATACGGTGTCCTTTTTTTGTTAACGTTACTTTTAAATACGTATATTTGAAAAATTAGCTATGGCAGTAAAATCCAATATCGTATAAGGCAATATTTCCAACCTAGTATTGATATACTCACTCGTTCCAGGTGCTGGAGCTGATCTTTTGAACTCCATGCAGTTCCTTTGGAAATGACGTTCATTCGATGGCATGGTGATCGGGAAACAAGGACCCCTGGAACATGAAAGAGTAAAGGGACAGACGTTTCCTTGTTCCAATCCAATGATATGACCAAGCTTACATGTTATTTCACAAAATGTATGTTTTTTATATATATTCATAATCGTACAGCTGACCGTGACGTGTTTTGTGACTTTGATTTTAATTACATAATATAAATGTTACTATTGTCAATACTACGTCGTTGTTAAAGTTTCATGTGCTAATTGGAATAAGAATCACAAGGAATGGAAAATAAAGAATGTTAATTGCTTACCCAGTTCGTACATCAGAATGCATCTGACCAGGTCTGTGACCATCGCAGCATTTAGTTTGAACATCACCTTGAAAAATATATGGATGAGAAAACCGAATACAAAGATTCAAACATAATAATGTTGAAAGATGTGGAAATCGTGTGAACAAAAACGAAATACAACAATAGTTTGTCTGATTTCAACATCTCAGTTCCCAGGAATGAAACGGTATAATCATCTGTACCGAAACGTCGCTATTGTACAATAAAGACGTTGATCATCCATAAACACTTGTTATTCCTATTACTTTCAACTTCTGGAATCCTTCCCAAACAGTTCATCTCGGTTCCCCACGTGACCTTTCTGGACAACATTAATTCGTGGTGTACAAAACCACCTCCAGTTTAAGACGACCTGACTGATCTCTATCATCTACAACGACTCTTCACTCTTCTTTAAATAGTGAATATTGATAGTGACACCTGCCACCTACCTGCGTGGAAAGGAGTTCCGGTGAAGTCGTGTTCCAGGAACTGCAACCACTGCATCACCATTTTAGCAAATAGATTTACAGTTTGTCAGATTTCAATAGCTTAGTTCCCCTCGCGACCTTTCTGGACAACGTGAAGTCTCCAGTTTAATACGATCTTGACTGATCTTTATTACCAACAAGGATTTTTCGCAATCTATCTTTGGATACTGAATAGTAGACACCTGTCACCTACCTGCGTGGAGGGGGGTTCCGGTGAGGTCGTGGTCCAGGAACTGCCCCCACTGCATCACCATCACTGTGTTGTCGCCAGAAGGACTGTCAGTACCCGGATGTACGGCCACACTGACAGCACGTGGGCTCGGGAGGGGATGACCATCAACGCCCCTCAGTCGAGGAACAAACTTGCCTGCAAAACGTGAAGTCAGTTATGATACTAATAACGGAATGGCTGAATGTCCGCATGAAAAAGTCCAGTTATTGCCAGGAATGGTTAAAACAACTTAAACTCGTCATTATTGGGTCAGATTGTCAGGTTTCGTAATGAATTACCTTGGTTTTTAGCATGAATCAGTCAACTTTAAGTTCTTACACATAAAATATAGGACATCAAAGACAACTTGTACATTACCATCATCATAAGCAGGATCAAGAAATCTCCTGAATGGCTGGTTGGTTGATCCCCAGTTTGGCCAACGAGCATTGTTGCATCTTCCGTCCATTGTCCGGTAGCGGGCTCCTGGTTGGCAGGCGGTGGAGCGCCGTCTGTTAAAGTAGGGGGCATTGTCAAGGCTAATAATAACTGGTACCAAATACATTAAACTTTCAAATGAAGTTGTCTGAAGTTGAAATCTAAAAGTGATAGTAGCGGAAGCCATGTAGCTGACCTGATGATGTGCTTCTCTTGATACTTGGACTTGCTGATGTCTTCCAATGAGATCTGAGACGTCTCGGCGGCGTCAGCCAGTGTACAAACAATATAATTGTTGTCTTCATCATCACCTACAGCAAGGTAAAGGCATTAGCTCATTGCCAGCTCACAGGGACAATGCCATTGTCCTTCAATTATATCTGAACTGTTGCTATTCTAAACTTTCTGATGATGTTTCAAGAGGCGTATGTGAAATACTTCTAAAAATAGACAGAATTCGTTACTCTGATGTTCACATTTAACGTCACATCGGCAATTTTTCAGGCATATCGTTACGAGAATTTGAATATATACTTAATATATTAGGATTTAGAAATCTGTCATCGATGGACAGTTGAGTACTAGAGCATCACAGGTATAAGTTAAAACTAGTTGATAGCATTTAGAAGAATAGATTATTAAACAACAATACATTGTAAAAAATGTGCTATAGATCACCAGCAACTGCATTCCTGAAATAGGTTATAGTGTTTTAAAAGAATGAGTGAGTGAGTTTAGTTTTACGCCGCACTCAGCATTATTCCAGCTACATGGCGGCGGTGTAATAATCGAGTATGGACCAGACAATCCAGGGATCAACAGCATGAACATCGATCTACGCAATTGGGATACGATGACATGATTGTGTCAACCCAGTCAGCGAGCCTGGCCACCCGATCGCGTTAGTCTCTTACGACAAGGATGGGTCACTGAAGATCAATTCTAACCCGGGCCTTCACGGGTTTTAAAAGAATGACTGTCTGAAGCATTTTATTCTTTCTTACATAAGAACAGAGACTGTTCTTATGGTCGACTGTAATTAGTTGTTCCTGACCATGATCTGATTCGTCTGTTAACCCTGAGTCAAATTATGAACACTGAAACTCTGTTGGAAGCCCTCAATGTAAAAGAATGAAACTTTTTCTATTTTCCCTGTCTGACGTTTGGCCATTAACGTTTCCTTGCTGCTCACTCAAAGTCGATGGTGAAGTTCGTCTCTCATGTTCCATGGTCGTGTGAGTCTCATGGTCCATTCCAGCCAGATCTGATTCTACTGAACTTACTGAAGGGGGAGATAATTTGCTCGATGATTAATATCACAAAATATTATAGCTGTACATTAACACATGTTATATTTGGGAAGATTATGGTTACAAAATATCCATAAATATATTGAAGCAGTCAGTATGACATTAAGTAAAAATGTTGACATATTTATGAATGATTTTTTTTACCTTTAAATACCAAAGTACAGGGAACTAAAATAGTTTTATACCATCTTTCACCATTGCTTGCCAAGAATTCCTTTATCATTTTGAACAGTATACTCACGTTGCTCAATGACGGCTTCTATGTTGTTAACCTAAAAGGAAATAGGTTGCATAGGTGAAATAATCTCGGATAAAACAGAAGTGGTGTTTTTAAAAAAAGCAAGATATCCACCTGTAACATTGAACGTGATGAGAAAAGGCAACTTCAGAACCACACATCTATAACAATGATAAATACATAATGATTTCTACACACATTCAAGGATCGCATCATCATGATGATAACGATGATGAGAAAAAAGAACGAACAGAAGACCAAGAAGGAGAAGAAGGAAACACAACAGTGAAGATGAAGAAGAAGAAGAAGAGAAGAACCAGCTTACCTCAGTGTCCGCCTCCCCAGCAGACACCACCGTCAAGATACACACAAACAACAACACTGTCATCGTTTCTGCTTCTGTCCAGTACGCTGTGGGAATGTCTGATACACCATTATATGGGCCTTCTATATATATACTCATATTCCTGGATTAAGATTACCATATGTTCGACTGACCCCTGGTGGGCATAATCCGACATATCTACATAGGGGGAGCTAACCATCTTGTGTCGATGCAGGCTGATTATCCCGGAGCAGTGTCTTTACCGCCATGGTTATTGGTGTCCTGTGTAAACATCAATAGCAAGACAGCTGGTTATCTGATTCGCTTCAGGAGATATGCATCGTTGAGAGATATCTCATAGTTAAATGGTTATAACTGATTCGAGCAGAAAGTATTCCAGCTAATGGCATAATCAAAAGGAGACAAGTGAGACCGCCTCACCTGTTTCATATTTAGATCTATGCACACAGACTCTGAGTGACAACAAATAAAACTCTCCACAAGGCTGTATGACAAAAGGAGTGACTCTCCACAAGGCTGTATGACAAAAGGAGTGACTCTCCACAAGGCTGTATGACAAAAGGGGTGACTCTCCGCAAGGCCGTATGACAAAAGGATGACTCTCCACAAGGCTGTATGACAAAAGGGGTGACTCTCCACATGGCTGTATGACAAAAGGGGTGACTCTCCACAAGGCTGTATGACAAAAGGGGTGACTCTCCACAAGGCTGTATGACAAAAGGGGTGACTCTCCACAAGGCTGCATGACAAAAGGGTGACTCTCCACAAGGCTGTATAACAAAAGGGTGACTCTCCACAAGGCTGTATGACAAAAGGTGACTCTCCACAAGGCTGTATGACAAAAGGGTGACTCTCTACAAGGCTGTATGACAAAAGGGGTGACTCTCCACAAGGCTGTATGACAAAAGGGGTGACTCTCCACAAGGCTGTATGACAAAAGGGGTGACTCTCCACAAGGCTGTATGACAAAAGAGGTCACTCTCCACAAGGCTGTATAACAAAAGGGGTGAATCTCCACAAGGCTGTATGACAAAAGGGGTGACTCTCCACAAGGCTGTATGACAAAAGGGTGACTCTCCACAAGGCTGTATAACAAAAGGGGTGACTCTCTACAAGGCTGTATGACAAAAGGGGTGACTCTCCACAAGGCTATATGACAAAAGGTGACTCTCTCTCCACAAGGACTCTCCACAAGGCTGTATGACAAAAGGTGACTCTCCACAAGGCTGTATGACAAAGGGGTGACTCTCCACAAGGCTGTATGACAAAGGGGTGACTCTCCACAAGGCTGTATGACAAAAGGGGTGACTCTCTACAAGGCTGTATGACAAAAGGGGTGACTCTCCACAAGGCTGTATGACAAAAGGGGTGACTCTCCACAAGGCTGTATGACAAAAGGGTGACTCTCCACAAGGCTGTATGACAAAAAAGGGTGACTCTCCACAAGGCTGTATGACAAAGGCTGTATGACAAAAGGGGTGACTCTCCACAAGGCTGTATGACAAAAGGGGTGACTCTCCACAAGGCTGTATGACAAAAGGGGTGACTCTCCACAAGGCTGTATGACAAAAGGGGTGACTCTCCACAAGGCTGTATGACAAAAGGGGTGACTCTCCACAAGGCTGTATGACAAAAGGGTGACTCTCCACAAGGCTGTATGACAAAAGGGGTGACTCTCCACAAGGCTGTATGACAAAGGGGTGACTCTCCACAAGGCTGTATGACAAAAGGGGTGACTCTCCCACAAGGCTGTATGACAAAGGGATGACTCTCCACAAGGCTGTATGACAAAGGGGTGACTCTCCACAAGGCTGTATGACAAAAGGGTGACTCTCCACAAGGCTGTATGACAAAAGGGGTATGACTCTCCACAAGGCTGTATGACAAAGGGGTGACTCTCCACAAGGCTGTATGACAAAGGGGTGACTCTCCACAAGGCTGTATGACAAAAGGGGTGACTCTCCACAAGGCTGTATGACAAAAGGGGTGACTCTCCACAAGGCTGTATGACAAAAGGGGTGACTCTCCACAAGGCTGTATGACAAAAGGGGTGACTCTCCACAAGGCTGTATGACAAAAGGGGTGACTCTCCACAAGGCTGTATAACAAAAGGGGTGACTCTCCACAAGACTGTATGACAAAAGGGGTGGTTTCAACTTCCCAATAGTCAACCTCCCTTCCGTGTCCAGCAATATTCCAACAGCTCCAGCCTTTGGTGTTTGCATTTCACAACTTTTGGTTGATCCCCAATCGAGCGTGCTCTTTTTATGAGGATTTCAAAGAGCTTTCAAGCCAATCTTGCTTAGATGTTTTTTAATCAAAGTTACAACATTCAAGGCCTCAGACAAGCTTTCAAGAAGTTTTATGGTAGACATGAGGAGAAAAATTCCAAATTTGATGCATCAGTGACAAAAATGATGAATTCCCTATTTCGACTTATACCATACGTTCCCGAATTAATTCAGGTGTGCAGTTGGCTACAATTAGAATATATTTATGACGGTTGCCACAGAAGTAGTAGTAGTAGTAGTAGTAGTAGTAGTAGTAGTAGCAGTAGCAGTAGTAGTAGTAGTAGTACTAGTAGTAGTAGTAGTAATAGTAGTAGTAGTAGTAGTAGTAGTAGTAGTAGTAGTAGTAGTAGTAGTAGTAGTAGTAGTTGCTGTTCTTGTCTATAAACTAGTTTGGATTTTGGGACCTTTTTGATAGTGGTAGTGGAAACTGGAAATTGTAAGAACTGTTTGACTGACATTTTATTATATCATCTATGATAAACATTATTTGTTTGTATTATTGCACTTATTGCTTGGACTGGAATATCTTCCAGGCATAAAACCTTGTAACAACTTCAATATGTTTATATTTGCAACACCTGCAAGTCAAGAACAACTCCTGATGAAAAGCGGATTACCAATTGTCTTATTACTAATATTTTAGAACACTTTAGAGCGATTACAATTGATGACGACACGCCCTAAGTAACACCATTCGATGAAATAATCCCAGATTAGTGATTAACAGTATAAACCCCGTCATGGGTGATCATGAGAGGCAGCCCAGTCCGGTATAATTAGGTAACAATCAGGTCTACGGACGGCATCACATCGTGTTCATTGATCAATAGAAAGTGAGTGACTACCGTCAAATCAAGTCATTACGGCGTGTGAAATAATCATTTAGAGGCTACATAAAAGTGACACTGCAATACATATATGATATAAAAAAAACACGACAAACCCATCTCTGTGTGTGTCCGTATCCGTTTTGTTTTTTTGTTGTTGTCGTTCGGGTTTTTTAGGGTTGTATGTGTGTGTGCGCGCGTGTGTGTAGGTATGTATGTGCCGCCGCCCCCCCCCCCTGTTTGTGTGCCCGTTTGTTTGTGTGTGTCAGCGCGTTTGTTTATGTGTATTGGTGTGTGTGTGTCCGTTTGTGTGTATGTATTCGTGTGTGTGTGTGAGAGAGAGATACTAAGAGAGCGTGTGTGTGTGTGTGTGTGTGTGTGTGTGTGTGTGTGTGTGTGTGTGTGTGTGTGTGTGTGTGTGTGAGCGTGCGTGTGTGTGTGAGTGTGATTCTTTAATCAAGCAATTAATAGTTATAATGATGAGATTTCCACTTTTCGGTGGGTACAACTACAAACTACTTTTCATGTGGGGCATCCATACAAGGGTGTTAATATCAAAGACAACGAGGTCAACAGCGAATATAGCCATAGGTTGAAAAGTGTGAGTGAGTGAGTGAGTTTAGTTTTAAGCCGATTTTAGCAATATTCCAGCAATATCACGGCGGGGGACACCAGAAATTGGCTTCACACATTATACCCATGTGTGGTATCGACCCCGGGTCTACAGCATGAGGAGCGAACGCTTCAACCACTAGGCTACTCCACTGCCCCAGGTTGAAAAGAATACGATCAGGCTTGGGAACAACAAGTAGCGGAATATTCACCCTGAGCAGCCAATTCGCAGAAATGGACGAGACCGGAATAACAGTATACATATAAATTTAAGTGAATGAATCTCTTGTCAACAGTTTGAATGAATGCGTTAAAGACGTCAAGAATCGACATCAATATTTTAGGTCAGTGTATGTGCAGACAGTAAGTTATTTGCATTCCGCCATGTACGCTGGTGATGTAATATAATTAATCAAATTGCCGTTACAAAAATTGCCATTTAAGCAGTTTGGGTATCTGAATACTCAGAAAGAAATCTCTTACTACTGTTTTAGCCACAGTTCACGAATTTAAAACACGATTTGTTCTGATCACACACATTTACCCTCAAGAATATCAAACTGTCTGGCTGACAGATTAAGGTTACGGGTGTCTCAATTACAGACAATTAAATACATTTACTATCTTATCACTGGTATCAATGTCTTCATCTGCTTGCAGTTACGTCATAAACAAGTTTTGAAATCACACTTCCTGCCTCGGGCGTATACTTCGCGGAGGCGCACTTAAATAAGGCGATTTCTGCTATACCTGACCGACACCATCATGAATAACGCTAGATTGCAATCAGATCACCAAGTTTCTTGTTATCAGCGTGTGAACACTACACTAACATCAATGGCGGATAAATTAGCCTCAATTGACACTTTTAGCTCATTCGTTAGACTTGCACAAGTCTCTAAGGTAATAATTAATAGTTTTAAAAAATATGAATAACGTTCCAACAGACTGGCGTCCACAGATGTCCGCTTATCTAGACTTGCCTCTTTAAAGGATAGAATTACTATACATCTATGGGCTTAGCCTTCAGTACAGCCTTGGAGCAAGGCTACTCATTCATGTATATACATCTGACCGCCAGAATATGACCACAACTGGTTGTGTATCATAAAGGATTATGTGTTGACTTACTTCAGGAGTTTAAATATGTATGTGGGAGATCATATTATTTTGTGTATTAGACATTCCCACCGTGTACTGGGCTGTAGCGGATACAATGAAAGGGGTGCAGCATGCGCGGATCAGGGGGGTGCGGGGGGTGCGCAAACAAACACAACACCCACCCCCACCCCCACCCACCCACCCCCACCCCCAAGGTGTTCCAAATGTACTACATGTTTTATGCCCAGGGTTCCGAGGATTGGGGTGCTCCTGTATCCGCCCCTGGTGCAGTATGTGTGTATCTTGACCGTGGTGACTGCTAGAGAAACGAACACAGAAGTATTGTTGTAGACAGACAGACAGTGTTTATTCAGCAGAGGCCTTCGGTCCATAATGCAATCAGATGGCAATGTATTTAATGAGAGGGCAGTTTAACGTTGCAGCTCTACATCCTGGAGTTAATCAATTTCTGCATATGATATAACTATAGGCCAACATTGTATATAACATCACCATTTGAACTGTTTGAGAGGCATTTAGAAGTTGTAGGAATGTGGCAGGTATAATGGAATTGAATATAGCGAAAGAATATGCCTTTTTTTGTAAAACCAGAGGTCAGCATTATATAAAGAATGAATACCATGCACTATTTATCTGTAATGTCTATGGTAAACTTAGAACTAAATACATTGTACAATAAAGAAGTTGATCATCCATAAACACTTGTCATTCCTATAACATCATCATTTGTTTTGCAAAGGATTTACAACGGAGAAATAAGTATATGGTTCTTTAGTGAACTTTGTTATGCATTTAGTTCTAAGTTTACCATAAATAGTGCATGGTATTCATTCTTTATATAATGCTGACCTCTGGTTTTACAAAAAGGCATATTCTTTCGCTATATTCAATTCCATTTTACCTGCCACATTCAACAGGAATATTAAAATTACTGCATTAAACATACGGGGGTATTGTTATTATTATTGTGTTTTACAGATTAAAGTAAAACGCAGCAGAGAGAGGTTGGTTGTTGGTATTATTATTGTTGTTGTTGCGATCATCATTATAAACAGGGCGATGGGGTAGCCTAGTGGTTAAAGCGTTGGCTCGTCACGCCGAAGACCCGGGTACGAATCCCCGCATGGGTACAATGTGTGAAGCCCATTTCTGGTGTCCCCGCCGTGATGTTGCTGGAATATTGCTAAAAGCGGCGTAAAACCAAACTCAGTCAGTCATTATTAACATATTTATCAACAATTGTAAGAACTACATGTGTCATATTGCTTCAGCAAAAATAAATGAGCATACCTTCTGTCAAATACATTTGCTTTTCTAACACAAAAACATTTTGTTCTTTCTTCAGGTTAGCAACGCTGATTTCATCATGGATCAACGTGGGACAAAATCCTCTACTTTTAATCTGAATAAAATAGTTTACAGTAAATGTTTACGGTGTCCCTGAGTGAGTGAATGTACATGTGTGTGTGCGTGCGTGCGTTTAGGTGCTGGTGCGTGCATGTGTGTGTGTGTGCGTTTAGGTGCTGGTGCGTGCATTTGTGTGTGTGCATGCATGCGCGTGCGCGCACCTTGATTATGCACTGTGATATAAGTCAGTTTTGCCGTACTCAGCAATGTTTCAGATACATGACAGCGGTTTGTAAACAATCGACTCTTGGACAGACAATCCAACGCGATGTTGAAATGGGAAATAGTTTGTTTGTTTCACGATCTGCATATAATATTATGTAATGTATACAATTTGCCAATCGATTTAATCTGTATAAACATAGGTAAAACAGTGTAAAATATGTTTGTAAATAAATAAGTCTGGCCCCGACAGTCAAGTAATCAATATTATGAGCAAAGATTCATCCGTCGGGATACGTAGACAAACCTTCAGCGACGTGGCCGAGTCGGACCAAGCTCTACCTCTTACTACCACCATGGGCTGTTTGGGGTAGGCTACTAATTCCCACCCGGAATCCCTTCTGGCTAGTTTGTTAAAACGAATAAGTTTTGTTACAGAGGTGCATGTTTACCCGAGTGCAGGATGTGTACATGTATACAGTTATGATTTTCATATGAAGTACAGATGTGATCGCTTCAGGGGTGCCATTCCATGAGGAGGTGTGTTTGTGTATGTCCCATAAACTCATAATCCTCTTTCTGTGTCAGCAGATAGTCCGGCCTTGTGGAACTCCCGAGTATTGAGTGTTTTCTGTATATAAACAATTCTATTCAACCTCTCTTTATCCGACAACATATTATATGAGACTATACTACACATTTTTGTATGTAAGCAGTGAGTCTATACACATTATTTTAAGGTAAGTCGTCCATACAATATCCATTGTATAAGTGTATTGCAGGGTATATATCTTTATATGCAGATATTCTGTGTAGATTCCAAGGACCTGAAATAAATAATGTGGATTTTTAAACATATGCTGAGAAAAACACCTCAATTGTAAACGTTGGGTATTATATACTCTTCCAAAAAAATGTAGGGGAACCTGAACTTTCGATTTGGATAGTAAGTGTAAGTCTTAAAAAACTTTTCAAAGACAGACATCTTATGAATGCACCACCATTTCACTTTATCACCAACCTCAAACACAACGCATGGGATTCACGGGCACAACACAGTAGTCCCATATACATACACGTGTATGGGGTGTCATTCTTGATTTCGACGGTTTACAAGGTCGAGAAATCACTATAGACCATTGATTCTGACGATCATCTTGCATCGCACAGTTGTTAGCGTTGGTTTCTAGCCGTTTTTATTATTTATTATATTTTTTCTGTTTTTGTGTATTTTTTGGTATTTTCTTTTTTCATTTTTTTTTTAATGAAAATCGTACACATGCAAATTTCACGCCATACACCAATCATCTTTCAAGAGAGATTACTGTACAAACAAATATGGTCATAAGGAAGTGCAAGCGGTGATGCCCTCTCAAAACATTCATAATTATCATACCAACATTGATTGACTCCGATATATCTTCCATTTTTTTCAATCGTAAATTAGAAATGAAGTATATTACTAAAATGAGACCCACGCCCTTTATTTGCCTTCATCTGTCATTCTCTACTATATTGGTGTTATATTTATTTAATTTACCGGTACATATTTTCCCCTCTCTTTTGCCTCTTGGCATTTTCTGTTAGTATTAACAGGGAGAATATATACGGTGTTGTAGATTATCCCTGGTATTAGGTAAGACGGTAAAGGAAAATATAACATGCCTTTCGTTGTCATTTCTTTTTCGAATGGGATAAACTGGGCGTTAGTCTATATAAACTGCGCACAAATCGACTCGTGTTCCACCTGTCTTTATCCAGTTTAAGAAATAGTGCCACGTGACCGGAAGTGTACATATTGGCGGACAAGTTTGAAAACTGTAAACAAGAGGCGACGCATTTGAGATTTGATGACTTTCTTTCGTCAGTAAACAGGTACCGTTGAGACGGACGAACTGCATAGGATATTTGAAATGGTCCTATGTCATCCTTAATATAATGATGTGCGAATAGCACAACGCAGTATTTCCGATTTGTGAAGCTGTTGGGTTGTTGTTGGCGCAGGCTAAACTTTAGCCTTTAGCCTAAAGGCCGAAGTAGTATTTGCTGCAACGAAACCAGTATTGAAAGGGATTATGTAAACACACTAAATATATTTTTCACAATCAATAAAGTCGTTTTTTTTTTTGCATTGTGAACAAGCTCGCAAGAATACACCAACCCAAGTATATTTTTCCAGTTTTGGGTACACAGTAACACACTCCCACACCTACCTACCAAAGTACCACTTTGGATAAGGTCCTTAACCTTAATATTATGAAAGAAGATGTACATAATAATTTAATTATACTTTCAAATTTGGTGAAAATGTCACATGACATTTGTCTCATGCAAGGTCCCTGCATATTCTTAGCACACAAGGTGATAGAACATGCACTGTATGCTTACAGGTCACTATTCAAACAAAATATTTTGGAGCATTGTTGTGATGTGTTGGATTAAACATATAACTATGATAACAAGTTTAGTTAATAAACCTAAACCTAGAAACCTAAATATCATTTCATTCCCAAATGATGTTTCCTTTCAAAATTGATTAACTGAAAGCGAAGTGATTTTTCTCTCACATCTTTTATCCCCTGTATTCATGGGGAGATGGTGATTTCGTAGACTGAACCAGTTCGTAGACGCGGTGGATTCGTAGCCCAGACTGGTTCGTAGACGTGTATTAATAATTGAATAATAGTATATATTAAGTTTGATTTTTACTTAGATTGTGTATAACGAAGTTGTTATGCTTTGTTTTCAGTGATACAAAACTAAGGACAAGAAAAGTGTGATTGAAGAGTGAACGAATATTTTCCCGTATCTTGTCTAGACTTGTTTACGTGTATTTGTATTTGTATATGTAGGGTTCGTGTTGTATTTTTTGTTTTCAGTGATACGAAAATATTGTTACTGTGTGACTTTGTGTGTAATAAAGATGAAGCGTCGTAAAATGTAAAAAGACAGACAACATTGATATGGAAGAGTGGTAATGTAATATATTTATGATCAACAACAATAGGTAACAACAGCACGTATCACAGTAGTAGTTAGATAACACCGTTATCACACATACAACGCATAGAGCCATGGTTGATCATCATATTTTCCCGACTGTTTCCATTGTTGTGGGTGGATTTACAGGTTTCACTGAGTGGTTGTGAATGTTAATTAGGAAGTGGTGAGTTGTTTTGATTGCGAAATACTGTGTGTAGGAGATGTAAGTGTTTTCTTAAGAAGTGTTTTCTGCTACTTCTCTGCTGGTCTGCGTAGTTGAATGTTGAATGACGATACTTACCTAATACATATCTTTTAATTTTACACAACTGAATTTAATATATAAGCGGGCCTATGATTTGTCGGAATTTGTCGGGCGTGGACCGCTGTAAATCATATTTTATTATTTTAAGCATATTTTCATCGCCGATCATACTTACCTGATACATTTTATTTATTTCACAAAATGCAAACACTTTTCGGTTACATTAAAGTCATAATATCGATTTTCATCATCATTTAGGTTGAACTTTTCCCATTTTACTAATGTCTACGAGTCCACCGCTCAATCTGCCTACGAATCCACCGGATTTCCACGTCTACGAACCAGTCTTGTCTACAAATTCACCTACAGCCGTATTCATGACTACAAAATGGAGGACACTGAACTTTCCGAGTAAATGTACTACAGAATTTAGAAAATGGGATCTGCATGTACAGTCAGTGTCAGTCACTATCAAACGCTTTAGCTCCCAATAGATAATGACATGACTCAACACAAATGTATCTCAATATATTGAAATAATTGCCATGCTTTTTTCTAGGCAGTGCTCAGCCCTATTTAGTGATATATTGAGTGTATCATGTTGTGTCAATTGTCGTAATAGATTTTTCTGAGTGAAAATGACATAATCATGGTGACATAAACTTCTCCAGATCACAATGCCTCAGATGACCCTCCTGGACGTGTTTGACCAGTGCCAAGATGGAATGCAGTGTCACAACCGACTCCTCAAGTCCATGGCAAAGATATATCAATCAGTATGTACTTCACAAGGACAGACACAATCTGTCTCATCCAACTGGTCGTCAGGTCATATCAGACTTGTGATTATGTGAAAATAGCTTGTTTGGGAAGAAAACAACAAGACGTCTAGATTTTCTTGACCTATCTGACCAGTGGTCTTGTCTATTATTGCTCTATCATGTTTATTGACTGCCTCCGTGGTGTAGTGGTTAGAGCGTCCGCCCGGAGAGCGGAAGGTCGCGGGTTCGATCCCCGACCGCGTCATACCAAAAGACGTTCAAATATGGTACTTGTTGGTCCATGCCTGGCGCTCGGCATTAATGGGTACAACAAGGACTGGTCGGCTCGGAGTCAGTATAATGTGTCTGAGTGGGGTATTCATGCTTCACTGCGGCATGGTATCTCAGTGGGCTAGCACTGTAAAACCAGCTTCAGTCTGGGCTAGTACAAGCAGCCGCACATACACATACACACGCATGCACGTCGTCATATGAGCGAAATATTCTCAAGCACGACGTAAAACCCAATTTCACCTCACCTCACCTATCATGCTTATTTACAACTTTTAAGCATATACTTATTACAGCTATGTATATGTCGTTTTGCTTCACATACATATGAACATATGATATATGACATAAACATGACAAAACCTTTAGATGAGATTACTAGTCTTTACTGAACAGGTCATGTCATGACTGTATTGTTATGTAATAATATTCAAGGAAACGTTTCATAATGATTTCACATTTTTAGCAACAATAACCACATTTATGTCCTTTTAATACGGTATGTTTATTATTCCCCACCGCACGCTTAACGCAAAGCGGGGGTCTATAGTATTAGGCTCCATCCGTCCGTACATACGAATTGGAATATCTTAAGAACCGTTCCCTAGATTCTTATCATATTTGGTACCTAGGTTCATCACAGTATAATAAAGGCCCAAGTCAGGTTTGGTGACCTTGACCTTCATTTCAAGGTCACAAGGGGACTTTAACGCTTTACCTGCATGTTAAGCTATCTCAAGAACTGTTCACTGGATTTTCTTCATATTCAATATTCGCTTGAATGTTTTTCAATAAGCAATTTCTTTAGTGCTATTTTTGCATATTTCCTACACTGACATTCATGTCAAGGTCAAAGTCAGTCTTGAAAATATGTGTGTGTTTGAACACCAAAAGAGCAAGATATCAAGAGAGGTTGACCTGTCATGTTTTTGTTGACATTAACTTAAACTTTCATTACTTTATAAGTTTGATTTGATAATTTGCGGCGGGGGGATTATGTCACCTTAGTGACCATGGTGACAATGCTTGTTATTTTCAGATGGAGTTTGATGCCTTCTGGTCCGAGTTTGTCCACTACCTGAAATACTCCATGATAGTGTTCAAGCGAGAGGCTGCTGTTGAGAGGACCATTGACTTTGTTGCCAAGTTTTCTGTCTCCACCACGAAACGGCAGGATCAGCAACAAGAGGGGACAGGAGACAAGGGAGAAGAGGACGCAGCAAAGTTGAAGGATGAATCTAACAAGTTCCTGCTGACTATACTGGAGTTCCTGTTACAGGTACTTTGATACATATATCTCTGTCATGGGAAGTAAAGATATTTGCAACCACTCTACCTCATGATTTAGTATTCTCTGTACATTAGTTACCTTGTCACATACCAAATCTGACCCATGAAGATCTCGTAAGGACCTTTACGACCTTAGTTTGATTTTAGTTCGACTTCAGTCGATCTATCTCGACTCAGGTCGGCCAAGTTGAGAAGACCTATACTCGACCAGCTAGACCTGTATATCGACCTAATTTCAAATTAATTTCGTCCTAAGTCGACTGGCCCGACCTCTATGCGACCTGTGTTCAACTGGAGCGACTGGTTCTCGACGGAAATTCCATATTTCTGCCGAGTCGACCCTTGGTTTCCAAATTGTATAAATTACAGGGTGCATTATCACGAGGTAACCATTCAATTAGAGGACTGCAAAGTAGTAACATCACCATAAGGAACCTTGACGTAAACCTGGTGAGCTGGTGACGTAAACCTGAGAAGCAAACACTGCTTACCATTTGGGTGCAGATAGCCTGGCACCTGCTTGAACAGGTGGATGACCTGGAGATTGCCAACCCTCCTCCAAAGCCAAAGCCTCAGCCATAAGCACATCATTCACATCCTTGATGCCTTCAAAGCTGAGTATCGGTCAGATGAGTGGGATCAGAGTAGATGGAATACTGTAACCCGTGCTTTCAAGGAAAGGTGGCAATTTCCATATTGTAACATGAAAAAAAGCTTTTAAATCTTTTATTGGAAACTCATTGGAAAATAATCTGAAGATAACATCACATCATTATAAGGTGCTCATGACAATATATGAGTATCAAGTTCTACTTCTCAGTTTCACTGTCTTTGCTGAGAGTCCTGAACATGTGACTGATCCTCTGCGATGTATGTAGGGTCCAAGAGACCGCTTGACAGGTACAGAGATGTACCTGCTGCAGAACTGGAGTCAAAGCTGTGGAAGATACCATCCTGTTCCGCTGCTTTGCGGCATGTTGGAGAGGGTGGTGTGCTCAGGGTGGACCTCTGGGTGGCAGCAGGTTGATGTGGAGATGATGTGCTACCACTGGCTGCCGTTTCGTTTTTATGAAGCAATTGGGAAGATGATGACCATTTATGCGGTCGGCGTGGACTCAATTAGGTCGAGTTGAGGTCGAAATAGGTTGACTTCAGGTCGAGTCAGTCGACTCCAGGTTGAGTCCAAGTCGAGTCCAGTTTGAGTCGGTCGACTCAACGTCGAGGCGAGGCCAAGTACAGATCGACTCTAAGACGAACACAGATCGGCATGTCAGGCCAGCTCGACCTTCAACTCGACCTTTTCTGGACCTACCTCGACTTATTCTCGACCAGGAAGTCGGGGAAAATTTTTGACATGTCAAAAGATTTTCAAAAACTTGGTAGACCTGATTCGATCTGACTCGTTCTGAAACTCGACCTTCAGGTCGAGATGGTCGAGTAACGTAAGGTCGGCACTGGGACCGCACCATAAACAACAACCCAACCAACCAACTAACAAAAAAACCAAACCTTTATGCATTTTCCTAATAATACTTTCAAAATGTTCACCCGTAAAGGTCCGGGTTAGAATATTGATCTTCAGTAACCCATGCTTATCGTAAGAGGCGACTAACGGGATCGGGTGGTCAGGCTCGCTGACTTGGTTGACACATGTCATCGGTTCCCAGTTGCGCAGATCGATGCTCATGCTGTTGATCACTGGATTGTCTGGTCCAGACTCGATTATTTACAGACCTCCGTCATATAGCTGGAATATTGCTGGGTGCGGTGTAAAACTAAACTCACTCACTCAATCAATTCAAATGTTCTCATTACAAACCCAACTGTTACCAGGTTTACCTTGCTTTTGTTGCAGTCACACAGTGCGAAAGAGAGGGGAGTTCGATTTCGCTGTTGTCAGTTAATCAACAAGCTGCTGAGTAACCTAGGAGATGAGGCTCAGATCGATGACGATCTGTATGACAAGATCTACACATCCATGTTGGAACGGCTGCGGGACAAGGTCCCTGTTGTCAGGATGCACGCTGTGTTGGCGCTGTCGAGGCTTCAGGACCCAACCGATGAAAACTGTCCTGTCATTAAAGGTAACATTGATACTGTAAGGGGACCATTTATCAGGGTTGATAGGTGGCCATGTGGTTACTTGTCATATCAAGATCCTGTATTGTTTCTCTATTTACAAACAAACTAGTGAAGTGTTTATGGTGTCACCTGCTATAAAATGACTGCAGTATTGCTGAGAGGAACATAACCATTACACACTCAAATTCATCTTAGGCCGTTGCTTGTTGAAGCCATGGTAACCGGTTGTTCGATATGGTATATCATTTTGCAGTGTCACCATGCTTACTGTCATGGCTGTGTGTCATCTATATCTTGCTAAGTGTATTGTTATAGTCCAAGATAGGAAACCTGTCATTTATTTCAGTCAGAAATGCTGAATGACCAATGAAAATCAAATATATTAATAGTAGAATGCTATGTGAGTCACTTCAGGACAAGTGATTGAGAGATAGTTCCTTTCTACCCCTGCTTTAATAATAATAACTGAGTCAATATGTTTTTGTATGATGTAACAGATGCTTGAATTACAAAGTGACCCTTGTCTCCTTAGAGTTACAAATCAGCCTCTTTTTCTAAGCAATGTAGGTACATGGGGGGCGCAATTATTTTCACAGGTCATTGGTTACCTGATCACATGTTGAAGCTCTAAACATTGCAATATTTTTGGGGCCTGCCAGCACCATACATTATCATTAATCTGTTTGAATTTCCAGCATACCTCTTCTTGATTAGTCGCGACCCCAACCCTGACGTCCGTCGAGCTGTCCTCTCATGCATTGCCCCCTCCACCAAGACCCTGATGGCGGTCATTGAGCGGACACGTGATGTGAAGGACACTGTGAGACGTGTGGCATACAATGTCGTAGCGGAGAAGATCCACATCAAGGCTCTGTCCATTGCCCAGAGAATACAGCTCCTGCAGGATGGCCTCAGCGACAGAGCAGGTCAGGCCAGATTTGTTTGATCTTGAATGACCTTCGGAGGGACTTTCACTTTCTGTATCAATTGTAAGAGGATTCCAGAAAAGTTATCCAGCAGTTACCAACTGTTATGTCCCTATACAACTGATTGATAGTGACCATGACTATGATGACACGTCATCACTTTTCCCACATAAGTGAGATAATACTATTTGAAAATATTGACTTTAAGAATGACCTTCACTGTGACCTTGACCTTACAAGACACTCACAATCTTTTCCAATATCGATCTGTCATAGTGACATACTTGCCATCAGTTGCAAACCACAGTTGGTTTTGCTCAGTAGTTTTTCAGTTCTTTGAATGCTTTGTATTCTCATGGTCATGGACTCAATAATGTATTATCATGATTGAATTCACTCAAGATGTAATCACTATAGTAGGATGAAATGTTGTACAAGTCGTTCTCAGGACTGGACTTGAAAGGATGTGAAGTGGTAAGGTTTTGAGATATTTGCCTTGAAGGTCATTCTTGAGATAGTTCCACATCCTTCTGTATAAACCTTTATGTTAGTATGACATGTTTTACCAGACTTATGATGACCAAAGCCATGTGCAGAAGTGCATCTAACTTTCTTAATGTTGACTGTCTTGCACAGAGCTATGTTGTCAAACAGAAATTAGAGTAACTGGATGTGCATGTCAAGCGTACTCTTGAGTAAACCACAATAACGAACAGTGACAGCAGGTAGCCTACTCAGTCACCTTGTGAAGATCCTCGTTAGAATTGGTCTTCAGCAACCCATGCTTGTCGTAAGAGGCGACTGAGAGGATTGGAGGGTCACTGACTTGGTTGACACATCATCATATCAAAATCAAGTAGATAGATGCTCATGCTGTTGATCACTGGATTGTCCAATCCAGACTCAATTATTTACGGACTGCAAACATATGGCTGGAACATTGCTGAGTGCAGCGTTTTACAACAATCCACTCACTCTTGTTGACAGACATGGTGAAGGAGGCATGTGCTACCAAGCTGCTACAGGCATGGCTGCTACAGTTCCAGGGCAGTGCGCTACAGCTGCTACAGAGTCTCGATGTAGAGCAGTCAGCCGATGTCTGTCAGCAGGTGCTCTACAAGCTGTTTGAAAAGGTCCCCGTGGAGGAGATTGTGGACAACTTTGACCTGCTGGGCGAAGAGTAAGTGTTGTTTCAACATCACAGTTGTATAAATGAAGACATTTAGGCCCCAAAAATATGCTTGTGGCTCGTTGAAACTGAGTTAGCTCCTGCTGGTCATAATCAGTTACCGATGAAGTGGGTAATAAGACATGGTGACTTGGTAACAGGTTGATAGCTTGTTATCACACCCTAGTCACATATCATTCGATGGTCTTCAGCAACCAATGCTTGTCATAAAAGGCAACTAACAGGATCAGGTGGTCAGGATCACTGACTTGGTTGACACATGTCATCGTATCCCAATTGCGTAGATCGATGCTCATGCTATTGATCACTGGATTGTCTGTTCCAGACTTAATTTAGGACGATAACTTGGACAGACTGCCATATAGCTGGAATATTGCTGAGGGTGGAATCTTTAAAGTGTGGTAAAACAGCAGACTAAACTCACTCAGTCACGCTATGGGTGGTTAATGGTCCACATACAGAGTGATATAGATATTTGCTAGCCAGACTGTTTTACTAAAATGAAAAAAAGTTAAGTTCATACAATTCACCAATGGACTGGGGCGATTGTCGGGCAATGGGTTATTTCCACCCATGACCCACTGTGGCACAACATGTGCATGTCCCACATGTAACATATGATGTTAACTGTTGAACTTAAAAGGACACCAAGCTCGCCAGACAGTTCAAACTAAGTTGTCAGTTGGGTGTGCCATTTTAAGGGATCTTAGAACTAGTTGTCGGTTGGGCTGTGCCATTTTGGGATCTTAGAACGGTTCCCCATCATGGAATTGCTTGTTAAAAGTGCCAACTAAATTGCATCAAGTAATTAGGTCAGTAACTTGATCGATGACATTGTACCCTAGTAGATGGGTCTCTGTTCATAATATCAACCACTGGTTTTGTAATTCATGTTAGGTTACATACTAATATTAACCATCATTACATGGAATGTTGCCGAGGGCGGCATTAGTCAAAACCCAAACATATAACATTACTAATACCAGCAATTACCCACAACATGTACATCTCCCTATGATGTTGCTGCAATGTGTTGAAGGACCCTGATCTCTGATGACAAGCTGACGTGTGAGAGTGCCATGTACTGGCGGGTGTTGTGTCAGTTCGTGCAGGAGAAGGGCGTCACATACGAGGAACAGCTGGATAAAGTCCTGCCATCCTGTATTGTACTGTGCAAATATGTCAGAAAGTAAGTCAGATCATGATAGGGGTATGAAATCATCTGTTTTTGTGTCTGCTCATAAACATATCTCTTTGCCTTACACGTAATTTGCCTCAAGTCATTAGCTCAAATTCAGATATTTAGCCCCATGTCTGGAATAAAACATTCTTGTTTTGATTAATGTCACATTTTTTCCCAGTTTACTTGTCAAGGGCACTTATTTTGAGAATCATTGCTAAATCGCTTGCCTATAGCTGGGCCTGGTGGGTTTTTCTAGAGCGGTAGTTATGGAATGTACAAGACCTGAGAACTCTGAATGTCATTCTGTGCTTAGCATCTCACCTAATCTCAGTGATGTCACTGCACAGGTGACCCAGCCTTGTAGGGTACCACAGTTCACTGCAGAGTTACGTCCCTTGGGACCATCAAGATCCAATAAATACAGGTCCAGATCCAGGTTAGCCATGGTTATGTTTCAGGGGTTTTCAGCATCACACCTGTGCAAGAGGGATGTACAGAAGTGGTAAATGATACCTCTTTCAGGTTTTACTCCCATATTTAGCCTTCACTCGCTGATATGACTGGAACTCTGTTAAACTCAATCATTCACTCACTCCCTAATGTTTCTGCATATCTCAGCAGGTTTCTGGAGAAACTGACAGGCTGCGGAGATGACTTTGACAGACAGCTGGAGCTCGAATACATAGGACAGCAGATCCTCTCTCTCTTCAAGTACATGGACCTGTCGGATCAGGCTGGTCGGTAAGTCTCTCTTCAATTACTCAGACCCATCAGATCAGGATGGTCGGTAAGTCTCTCTTCAATTACTCTGACCCATCAGATCAGGATGGTTGGTAAGTCTCTCTTCAATTACTTGGACCCATCAGATCAGGATGGTCGGTAAGTCTCTCTTCAATTACTTGGACCCATAAGATCAGGATGGTCGGTAAGTCTCTCTTCAATTACTCGGACCCATCAGATCAGGCTGGTCGCTAAGTCTCTCTTCAATTACTCGGACCCATCAGATCAGGCTGGTCGCTAAGTCTCTCTTCAATTACTGGGACCCATCAGGGCCCCGTTCCTCAAAGCGATCGTAGCGCAAAGTTGATCGTAACTCCCATACTATAACATAGACTTACGACTGTTGTAGCGCTACGATCGCTTTGAGGAATGGGGCCCAGATCAGGATGGTCGGTAAGTCTCTCTTCAATTACTCGGACCCATCAGATCAGGATGGTCACTAAGTTACTGTATTCACAGGGACCTATCACATCACATCAGATCAGACCAGTCAGAAAGTGCCTGTCTTCCAGTACAATCTGATTAAACTGCCTCCATGGTCCAGTGGAGAGAGCATTTGCCCAGAGAGTGAAATGTTGGTGTTTCACATTCCCAGCAGGGCAGTGTTACAACGATTAAAGGAATGAAACAATGACTTGTCAAACTGGAGTCAATATACTGTGTCTGGGTGCGATATTACCTGGCCTATATCTATAGACCACAAACCCACGTAACGGCAAGGGATGACTGTACCTGTTCTGTTCACAGTTGTTGAACTTAGATTCACACTGAGCTCTCACTTCAAACTAAATTGTCCGTTGGGTGTAGCATTTTTGGACCTTAGAATGGTTACCCACCACTGAATTGCTTGTTAAAAGTGGCGACTAAATTGCATTACATGGTTAGGTCAGTGACTTGATCGATGACATGATATCAACCACTGGTTTTGTAATTCATGTTAGATTATTTACTATGAGTACAAACCACCACTGCATGGAAATATGCTTAAGGTTGTATTGATTGTTGTTTGATGCCGCACTCAGCAATATTCCAGCTATATGGCGGCGGTCTGTAAATAATCGAGTCTGTACCAGACAATCCAGTGATCAACAGCATGAGCATCGTACTACGCAAATGGGATACGATGACATGAGTCAACCAAGTCAGCAAGCTTGACCACCTGATCTTGTAAGTCGCCTCTTACAACAAGCATAGGTTACTGAAGACCAGTTCTAACCCGGATGTTCACAGGTCAAAGGTTGTATAAGTCAACAAGCGAACATGTAACATGATACTGTCTCTACACAAGTTACACTGACTCTGTTACAGGCGTGAGCTGGAGAAGCTGCTCCACGACATGATGATCTGCGACCACGTGAGTCACGCCTTGATGAAGTACATCATTTCCACACTTCACCTGGTGAAGACAAACACAGACACGCTGGTGGCCTACCTGGCCGAGACCATCTCCGAAATACGGGAGCCAATCACCATCGTGGAGAAAACACTGGACAAAGATGAGAGGCGGCAGTTGGACCTGAAGGTATTGTAGATGTTGTCAGGGCCATGATGAATTCTCAGGGAAATTGTCAGATAATGATTCTCAGTAGGGTTGGATCTGATGGTATTGTTAATGTAAGTAATTCTGATCATACAACAGTCATGACTACAGGTTTCTTGTTTGTGCATATTTGTAAGTTTCAGTATCCTCAATGGTAAGAATTCACATGTGCCTTGTGATGTTAAGTACTTGAGTAAAATTGAATGATAGAAATATACCCAAGCTGATTTTATCCATGTACTTTTTGACAACATGCTAAATACAAAGATCCTGTTGCTTCTGCTATTAAAACTGAACCTTGTTCCTTGACTTGCAGATCGCCAGTATCCGGGTGCGACTGAACCAAGCTAAGGAAGAGCTGGAGGAATGTGTGAGATGTCAGGAGTTTGCTCAAGCTGCGGAGCTGAAGAGTTCTGTAGCTGAGCTGGATGCTGAGCGATCCTTACTCCTGGAACAGGGAGAGCCCCAATCACAGGAGATACGCACAGAGAAGGTGGGCGGAAGGTTATTCAAGTATATATGTTGGAACAGTACTGTGGTTTGGGGTTTGCCTTAAATGTCAGTTGACATAGGAGGTATAGATGCTCGGAGGGATGGATTTAGGGCTATGAATTATTAAATTTAACCATGCTAATCAAGCAATTTCCTGATATCTTGCAGAGTGATCCCTTCACCATCCTGAAGTGCCTGACTGTTATCAGTGAACTGCTGACTCAGCTGCCCGTGAAGACACTAACGCCTACTCTGCACATGTTGCTGGAGAGCCAGGTAATACACAGTGAAGACACTGACACCTGCACATGTTGCTGGAGAGCCAGGTAATACACAGTGAAGACACTGACACCTGCACATGTTGCTGGAGAGCCAGGTAATACACAGTGAAGACACTGACACCTGCACATGTTGCTGGAGAGCCAGGTAATACACTGTGAAGACACTGGCACCTGCACATGTTGCTGGAGAGCCAGGTAATACACAGTGAAGACACTGACACCTGCACATGTTGCTGGAGAGCCAGGTAATACACAGTGAAGACACTGACACCTGCACATGTTGCTGGAGAGCCAGGTAATACACTGTGAAGACACTGGCACCTGCACATGTTGCTGGAGAGCCAGGTAATACACTGAAGACACTGACACCTGCACATGTTGCTGGAGAGCCAGGTAATACACAGTGAAGACACTGACACCTGCACATGTTGCTGGAGAGCCAGGTAATACACAGTGAAGACACTGACACCTGCACATGTTGCTGGATAGTCAGGAAATACACTGAAGACACTGACACCTGCACATGTTGCTGGAGAGCCAGGTAATACACTGTGAAGACACTGACGCCTGCACATGTTGCTGGAGAGCCAGGTAATACACTGAAGACACTGGCACCTGCACATGTTGCTGGAGAGCCAGGTAATACACAGTGAAGACACTGACACCTGCACATGTTGCTGGAGAGCCAGGTAATACACTGTGAAGACACTGGCACCTGCACATGTTGCTGGAGAGGCAGGTTAAGATGGTGAAGTCCTTGATACATGTACATGATACTGGAGACTTGTTTCCGAAGGTAGCAACTGCAATATGTCAGTTCTCATTCAGAGGAATGCAACAGCAAAGTGAGTGTCCATTTTGTTCAGCTGGACTCTATGTCGCCCATCTGCCATGTTCATGTCTGTATGGATCACACGTTTGCAGGTGCTGCCTGGGGTACAGAATGCTGAATCTGACGTACGTAATGCTGCCATCAAGGCTCTGGGACTCAGCTGTCTACTCAAGGAAGAGGTGGTTATGCAGTACCTGCCGCTGCTCATAGAGGTCAGCTGATAATCAGTCATCAAATATTTTTTAGGCCCTTGAATGTGTCAGCCTGACCTTGAAAGGGCTTTAATTCTTTAATCTCTCCCTCATTTTTGACATTCCTTAAAATAATAATGCATATGACATCTTTACCCTCAACAAAGTAACTTTAGACACATTAGATGTATACATTGTGTGAGCACGGCTTGGTATTCAGCCATGTTTGTCTACAGAAGCAGTTTCGCATTGGAAAACCACTAATGGAACCTGTTGGGAACCTTGGCCAATGATTTATTGATCAAACAGACATTGAATCAAATTTTGAAGATTAATAGTAGTAAACTGATCGTGTGTGTATACCATGCACATCATAACACTAGTAATTACATGGTGGATGATCATAACCTGATGATATTAAAACACTTCCATCAGGTGTCCCAACATGACACGGAGACGGTGAAGACCACGGCTCTCCAATGCTTGTTTGACCTGGTCCACATGTTCGGACTGGGCATCACACGACAGGAAGCTTCGACAGCAGCTGAGGGGAGCAACACCAGCTCCAGTTCCGACATGGCAGAGGTTACTGCAGATTCCCCAGATGACACTCTGGCCGATGCCGTTACCACCAGCTCAAAGAAATCTGATGCCTCTGCAGACATTGCTACCAAGCTGGTGGCCATTCTCAGTGCCTTCCTTGATTCAGAGGTAATGGGTGAGTGAGTATGGTTTTACGCCGCTTTTAGCAATATTCCAGCAATATCACGGCGGGAGAAACCAGAAATGAGCTTCACACATTGTACCCATGTGGTGAATCAAACCCAAGTCTGCAGCGTGACAAGCAGACACTTTAACCATTAGGCTACCCCACCGCCCCCTCAGAGGTCACAACTAGAGGTGAGGTGAAATTGGGTTTTACGTCGTGCTTGAGAATATTTCGCTTATACGACGACGTGCATGCGTGTGTATGTGTATGTGTATGTGCGGCTGCTTGTACTAGCCCAGACTTAAGCTGGTTTTATAATGCTAGCCCACTGAGATACCATGCCGCAGTGAAGCATGAATACCCCACTCAGACACAATATACTGACTCCGAGCCGACCAGTCCTTGTTGTACCCATTAATGCCTAGTGCCAGACAGGGACCAACAAGTACCATATTTCAACGTCTTTTGGTATGACGCGGTCGGCGATCGAACCCGCGACCTTCTGCTTTCTGGGCGGACGCTCTAAACACCACAGAGGCGGTCCTGAACAACTAGAGTAGAGATACTTGTTACCATGGACGACACACAGGGCCCACCTGAGTCATTCATAGTACCAGTTAATCTATCATTCAATGGCAGAGTATGTATAGTAATATGAAAGAATTAGGTGGTCCCCAACTTCATAAGAGTTTCATAGTTTTCAGCTTGAATATTTTTCATAATAGCTGTTTCACCTGGTCAGTTGATCCTCAACACCTTATTCAAACATTTCCTTTTGCTACCAATCTGTTCAATGACAGTATTTTCAGCAAAATGCAGGTCTTTTAACCATGACATCAAAAGACAACCAAACTCACTGTTCTTTCGTAATATTTCATGGCCAAATAGGTCCCCATTTTAAACCCATCTCCACCTCTACCCTTTATTCCATGTGTTGAAACCAGAGAAATTATTAACAAGACACTTGAACCTTGTGGTCACAGAGTTCAGAGTTGAGGACCGTTGCTGCTGAGGGTATGGCCAAGTTGCTGCTGTCTGGCAGAGTGGTATCTTCCAAACTCCTGTCTCACCTCCTATTGTTGTGGTATAACCCACTGACAGAAGATGACAACCACCTCAGGCACTGTCTCGGAGCCTTCTTGCCAGTGTTTGCCTTCGCTTGCAGGTCAGTGAATGATGCATGTGTAGTTTACATTGTCAATAAATGTTAGGTGTTTGCGCTATTTTTTAATGTTACTCAGTATTTGTCACTCTTATGGATCTGAATGTACATGAAGTTCTTGAAAGGCATTTAGAAGTTGAGCAAACATGAATACATGACACTTTTCATGGATAACAACTTCTTTTTATTCTATTAATATACGACATTTCAGAGCTAATTCTTGCTCCTTCATTAGGTGAAAACACATGTTCATCAACATTGTAAAACCAACACTATTGAAGCCGCTATAAAGCAGCACCAGTGTTGGGAATTTGTTAGGATTGTAATCCATGATTTGCAGATTCAGAGCTTGTTGCCTAAATATCCTTCAATAAAAGAAATACCCTGGTTGAATTTTAAAATTATACAGGATATTTTCCTATATTCTCCAAAGCACACCCGTCTTGAAACTAGTAAAAGCTTTAGTGTTTTCATACATGTTAACTTTGTTACTAGTGTGTTTTTTTCCACAAATTCTTTACATTTAACTGATATGATTGTTCACTTATTGACGTCATCGATACTTCTGATGGCAAATAAGATTAATCCAACATCACTTACATCAATCATCTTCTATTATTCTTTCCCCTCACACCAGGGCTAACCAGGAGTTGTTTGAGGAGGCGTTCATGCCTACACTGAACACCCTGCTGAATGCCCCAACATCCAGCCCCCTCAACGAGGTCAACGTAGGCAACGTGGGAGACTTCCTGGTCCAGCTTGTCAACTCCAAACTCCTGGTGGTCAACCAGAACTCACAGAGTCTGGTCACTGTAAGTCCAAAATTGTTGAGAGAACACCATACCTGTGGGGATCAACCAGAATTCAGTCTGGTCACTGAAAGTCTCATAGAGTGGCCCAAGGGTTGAAGTGTTATTAATGAAGAAGAAGGTTGTTAACGATGGATGAGACTGCAGAATACAACTGATATCCCTCAACTTGTCATATATTGGTACCAACTTTTGAAAATTAGTCAGACAGTATTTGTAATGTGTTTGTATATAAGAATTAAAATCAAATGTTTTACTCGTAATACAATACTTCTCTGGATCAGGATCTGGAGACAACTCCTCAGTAGGTAGCATCATGTTAACTTTAGGGCGCTCTGACTGCCAGATCTACATGCAGGATTCCTGGGTTCTTCAACCAGCTTTCTCACTATTTGGATTCACTTTTAACTGCTTGATTCATCAATTTCCTTTTGAGCTCTAAAAACACCATACCACAGAACATAAAATACCCTAGGCATGTCATCATTTTGAGTATAGATGCAAGGATGTTCAGACTTATGTTCTATATGTTTGTGTTCAAAATACATGACTATGTTAATTTCAAGATGCTTGATTCAATGTTTGGCTCACTCTAATCGTAAAGTTTAAAGCCGTGATATTGGATAGAAAGTTCACCTACATGAAGGAACTGTCCTCTTGATGCAAATCAGTACAGCTTGTTCAGCTTGACCCCAGCTACTCTACATATGCATGACCTGGGAGGTCAAATGGCATAAACGGCAGGTTGAGTTAACTTCATTAAACAGGGGAGCAGAGAATGTTGTTCTTGTTCTATTCGGCCTAGGGTTGCGCTCGAAACACCAGTTGCTGCTGTTGCTCACTGCCTGAATCGGATATATTAAACCATCAGTAGCTTCTTTTTTTAAAGAAAGTTAGGACATTACTGGCAATTTCTCAACACTGAGATGTCAAACAGCGACCTTGTCTCGGCTGTTCGGACATGTTGACAATCAACTGACAAAGGTGTGCCCCTTCACAATAATAGACCCAACCAGTTGTGACACAGTCACGCAATGCATTAGTATTCACTTGATCAGGTCAAGCTGAACAAGCTGTAATATGTCTGATCTGATTTTGGAGAGATTGAGGAAGGAAGATATGTAATGTTCCTGTCCACAGACCTCCACTTATGTGATTAGAACAGATGTGATCAAGTGACCTTAGCATGATAAGTAACAGATCTTGTATGCAGAGAGGTGCTGCTCACTTGCAAAGATGTGTATCTAGTGTTGGGTTTGAATCATGTGTTTGAGCTGATCACAGCCCTTACAGAGTTGCTTCCCTTAACTCCAGAAACGCTTGATTAAGGTCCTGAATGATCCTGCCTCACCCTGGTCACATTTCTGGGTTATTTCTCGGGTGTCCCCCATCTTGATATTGCTGGAATATTGCTAAAGCGGCGTAAAACTAAACTCAATCACTCACTTGCCAAGATGTGTATCTAGTGTTGGGTTTAAATCCCGTCTTTGAGCTAATCACAACCTTTACAGAGTTGCTTCCCTTAACACCAGAAACGCTTGATTAAGGTCCTGGGCCCGGTTTCACAAAGCTCTTGTAGTGTTATGACTATCATATGTCAATGTTACAGTACAGGAAGTACGAATGCTACGAGAGAGCTTTGTGAAACGGGGTCCTGAATCATCCTGCTTCACCCTGGTCATGTTTCTGGGTTAATTCTCTCGTATCCATGCTCATAGGCTTCACTAAGGTGATAAAGCCTTCCTCAGACATCAAACTAACTCATAGCGATAATTATATTACAGAATTACTGTTCAAAACAAGCAACCTTAAACATAGCCATCTAACTGTTTGGATTGTTCAACAAAAAATGCCCTTGCAATTTGTCAAGTATTGGGTGGCAAATTTTGAACAACAGCCTGCAGCAGGTTCTTGCAATCCACTGTTGCCAAGGCAATGTCAAACCAAGCTCAGCATTGTCTCTCACTCAGATAATACTTTGGTTGTTGAAAGAGATGATATATTTCTTGCACTGTTTTGTCGCAGGACAACCCAGGACATGACCACATAGCTGTGCTAGTGTGTAACGCGATCCTGTCCAGCCCTGACTCCTTCAGCGTGAAGCTGTGGACACGCCTCCTGAACCAGCTGGACCTGAGCCCCGACACACAACTCAAGGACATGCAGGTGCTCTGTGACCAGATGCTGGAGGTATGCAGAACTTAACAGTACCTCAATTACATGTCGTACCTTGCAAAAAACGGAAATAGGCATTTCTGGGTTTTTTATGAAATAAATGAAGATTGGCATTACTTTGTGGTTTTCCCATCATCAAGATAAGCCACTACATGACTGACATGTTATTCAAAGCGGTATTGAACCAACCTTGACCAACTGATCATTCCCACATCCATCCATCCATCCATCCATCCATCCATTCATGGGCGGTGGGGTAGCCTTGTGGTTAAAGCTTTCGCTCGCCACGCTGAATACCCTGGTTCGATTCCCCACATTGGTACAATGTGTGAAGCCCATTTATGGTGTCCCCGCCGTGATATTGCTGGAATATTGCTAAAAGCAATGTAAAGCTAAACTCACTCACTGACTCATTCATTCAATCACTCAATCCATAATAGTGGTCATGGCATATTCTTAGTGCATGGTTCTATGGTCTTTTATCATGATTTGGGGTGGTAGGATAGCCTGGTGGATAAGGCGTCCACTCGTCATGCCAGAGACCCGGGTACGATTTCCCACATGGGCACAGTGTGTGGAGCCCATTTCTGGTGTGCTGGAATATTGCTAAAAGCAGCAATGAACTAAACTCACTCACTCACTCACTTGTACCCACACCTTCAGTTGCCAGGTGCCTGAGTAAGTGACAGTGACCAGTGACACACTGTACGTGAATTTCATGAACCTATTACAAGGGACAGTGACCACTGACACACTGTACGTCAATTTCATGAACACATTACAAGGGACAGTGACCAGTGACACACTGTACGTCAATTTCATGAACCTATTACAAGGGACAGTGACCAGTGACACACTGTACGTCAATTTCATGAAACTATTACAAGGCACCTGAAACATAGCATTGATTGATTCAGTTGACAATGTTTCTCTGCAGGTTGTGAAAGAAAAGCAGAGTGTCAAAGCTGTGGAGAGGTTCAAGGCCTCTGTTGAGTCCATGCTGGCAGACAAGACCAGCATCACCAATGCTGATGCTGCGCCAACATCTGAAGAAGCAGAGGGCGGTGAGGACACTGCGGTTGACGCCAGCGGTGCCGTGACTGAATCACACGGACCCCTCTCATCTTCACAGACCAGCACTGTTCCAGACTCCCAAGACACTGTCGCTACTAGTGTGGACATCACCAGTGTGGCGTCCGACTCCCAGAGCTCTGATATAGCTATAAGTGTTGTTGACACTCTGTCAGACTCACAGAGCACTCAGGTGGAGAATTCCAGCCAAGGGGAGGCAACTGGAACTGTTACACCTGCTCTAAACACTACAATAGAAAACACGGCTGCATCTACGAAGAATGTGAAAGTCAAGCGTACAACAAGAGGTAGGGTGTGAGGGATGTTGTTACTGCAGTTGTTAAAGGGTTGTTTAACATATTCTATGTGTTGTCACAACAGGTTGTGGTATATTGTTACAGTTGTTGTAGTTGAAGGTTGTTTAACCTTCATTTTGAAGAGGGGCGGTGGGGTAGCCTAATGGTTAAAGCATTGGCTCGCCACGCCGAAGACCCCGGTTCGAATCCCCAGATAGGTACAATGTGTGAAGCCCATTTCTGGTGTCCCCCACCGTGATGAATATTGCTAAAAGCGGCATAAAACCAAACTCAGTCAGTCAGTCATTTTGAAGACATGTTATAGGAAGTTGTTACAACAGATGTGGTGGTGTATTGTTGCAACAAGTGTTGTAGGGAAGGTCAATAACTAAAATATTCTTCTGTTTCTCCCACAAGATGGTGGCACATATAGTTACAGTGACTGTTTTAATTGAATGCCAGCTGTTGAAAGCTTCAATTTTCCCTGTCCTCAATGCATTGAACTCATGTTTGTTTTTTTAACAAACTTTATAACATATGTTCCGTACAAATAGAAGAGGCCAGGATTGCTAACCTGGTTGACACGTCATTGTATCCCAACTGCACAGATTGATACTGATGCTGTTGATCACTGGATTGTCTGGTTCAGACTCGACTATTTACAGACCGCTGCAATATAGCTGGAATACTGCTGAGTGCTACATTAAACAAAATAAACATCATACACAGAGGAGGATTCAGTAAAAGTGATCACATGGTGAACGTTCAACTAATTCTTGTTTGTAGCCAAGTCAGTGAAAACGCCCGCCCCAATCCTGATGCCACAGGCCAACAAGACAGCCAAGTCAACAACAGGCCGACGCACACGGACACAAGCTCAAGCAGACAGGTAACAGAAATCCTTGTTCAGCTCTCCATCATACTTTATCATTTCCTTATTTTCAACCTGTTGTGAGACATTTACTGTGGTGTTAACATGCTGCAGGTGTATGGGAGATGAAGGGTTTATGAGAAAATGGTCAGGTCTCCTGATTTGAATGTACAGATAATAATGATGATAAGGGTGGCTACAATGTACGATACATGTGTCTGTATTGCGTTATATATTGGGACATACAGTTGCAGTCATCGTGGGTCAGAGTTAATCACTTTTTGCTTTCCTGCAGAAATTTTAAAAAATGCATCTCTTATAACTCTTTAGTTCTTTTTCATTGTATGATTGTGTCCTATGTCCTAAAGTTTATGTGAGGATTCGAGTAGAAATATAGGCCGCAATAAATTTGGCTAAGCTGACTGAATATCATCTCTCTCAGATGTGTGGATTGATGTGAATGATGTCAGTCATTTGATTGTCTGGCCAAGGCTGTGTTTACAGACTACCACCACACAGCTGTTTCATCATCAACTTTTCTCTTTCAGCGAGCTAGAGAACAGTGTGTTTGGCTCTCCAACCCCACTCCGTGGCAGCAAGGCTAATGTTAAACAGGTTGAATCACTGGAGCACACTAGGCGAAATCTGCAGGGTCTTCTACTGGAAGGAAAAGACAGTTCCCAGTCTGTAACTGAAGAACCCAAAACTCCTCGCAGTAAACGGTATTAAACTTTCACCTTCCAAGTCAACCGGGTCAGCAGTACTGTTGGTAAAGAGTTTATATTTGTCAAAGTAGACAGGTCTTGGATCGGAGTAGCTGCTTGGCTGTATGCTTGAAAACAATATGTACTTGAACCCCTGTTCAATACTGCAGGAATTACGCTTGTAGTAAGTCTACAGTGTTGCACCAAGGCACTGGAATCTTCTAGAGTCTGGAGAACGGCTTATAGAGTACTGTGGAAGGCTTAAGTGTACATGATAAGAGTTGAAAAAATAATGTTGCAAAACAGTCTGACGAACACAATTAATTCCTATGAATGTTTTTGTAGGATATTCTTATGGTTGGATAAAATATCAGGTGAACTGGAGAATACTTTGTAAGCATGAACAATTATTATCACGCTTTATCAGGGTTAGTTTGACATTGAAGATATTGACACATAATCAGGATAATGATTCCAGTGTTTAGATTAAGTTATGTGTGGTCGTGTGCATAGAGCTCAGGTCACAGATCAGTTGAAGATTAGACAAGTTGGGCGCGGAGAGTCCTTGGATGGGTGACCGTATTTGGCAGCTTGACTCCTGAGAGTTTCTAGGACTTCAGTCTGCCCCACAACAATGCACATGTGATACATGTGGTCTCACTTTAGGCAATTGAGTTTGTTCAAACTTGCCTCTGTTCACCCAGCAGAAAATGGGTACCCGGTTGGATAAGGTCATGTGACTATAACCTTTTGGGGCCTAACTGGCATCTTGGGTTATCCAGGGTAATTATTACAGCACTTCAGAGCCTTGCTACATTGGAAATAAGCAGAGTACAAATGAATAACTCCTTGGTGCATCACCCACTCTACAGTACCTATACCATAGATAATGTAGTGGAGCTGTGTTCTCCGAGATGCAACCCATACATTCCATATATATTCCACATATATCATATACACTGCTGTAGATTCCTTAGACCCAATAATGTATTGCATGCTATATTTCCTCTGATTGTTTCCCTACACTGAGGACCATGTGCTTGGGCCGAGTTCTCTAAATAGTATACCCGTGAAGGTCCGGGTTAGAATATTGATCTTCAGTAACCCATGCTTGTCGTAAGAGGCGACTAACGGGATCGGGTGGACAGGCTCGCTGACTGGGCTGACACATGTCATCGTATCCCAATTGTGAAGATCAATGGTCATGCTGTTGATCACTGGATTGTCTGGTGCAGACTCAATTTTTTACAGACCGCCGCCATATAGCTGGAACATTGCGGAGTGCGGTGTAAAACTAAACTCATTCACTCACTCACTCACTCTAAATAGTATGTGATGGTCTTTGTTTTTTTGTTTGTTTGCTTGTTTACTTCCACACCCCGTCAGTACTCCATCAGTGTGGTGGCTGCCTGTAAACAATCAAGTCTGGCCCAGTAAGTCCAGGGGTTGATATTGTGAGCATTGACCCATGATGACATGCTACCATCCAGGATGTCAGGTGATCATAACTCCCATAACATAGACTTACAACAGTGGTAGCTCAAAGGTTCCATCTCCAGTACATGTCAGGTGACTGACATATGTCTCCTGGATGCTTCTTACAGTTCTCACTGTGAACTGACTCACACTTGCCATGTACGACATTATAACACCTTTTGAACATATCTTTCCAAGTTTGAATATTATTCAAACCGAAAGCCTTGTCATTTTATGTACATATGCTTTACAAAGAACGAGACACAGGTTCCCAGTACCTCTGAATAGCAGATTGCTGATATTACAAAGCACACTTCCACTAGTAGTATGTACCAAACCCAATCAAGCACTGTGTATTCACCCCAGTATGCCCATCTCTTCAATAATGTTCTTTGATCTATAGTTTGGTTGTTGTTTAATGTCGCTAGCAATATTCCACCTATATGGTAGCGGTCTGTAAATAATCGAGTCTGGACCAGACAATCCAGTGATCAACATCATGACCATCGATCTACGCACATTGGAATACGATGACATGTGTCAGCGAGCCTGACCACCCGATCCCATTAGTGATCTCTTGCAACAAGCATGGGTTACTGAAGACCAATTCCAACCCGAATCTACACAGGTCTGTTTGATCTACAGATTATGTGGCTGCATGCAAGATCTATTCTAATGATTTCTGTTCATTTCAGGGCTGGTATTCGATCACAGAAGCGACCAGCACTCACAGACGTAAATGGAGACTGAACCTGCTAGAACAAGACTATCACAACCATTGCAAAATCCCCACCATAATAGCCTACGAGTGTTCACTGACATTGACTTGATTGTGCTGTGAGACTGGACACCTTCAGCCATTGCCAACATCAGGAAACACCAATTGGATCAGACTGAGTGACTGCTGCTCTTCCTTCAGATCAGCATTGAGAATTCTAAGGACTATCATCTGTCTTGTTCCTTCCTGTTCTATTTCACTTCTAATCATTGATATTGTTTATCATTTGTGCATACTTTGTCCTTCAGTAATGTCATGAACAATAAAATTACTTGAATTATTTCTTTAGGCTTGATTGCTGGTGAGGTTTTCCAGTGTTTTGAGATTTGGGTACACTGTGTAAGACACACAAACCTTTCCACTATTTCAGATCCAACTAATAAGAGCAATATATCTTGCACAATAAGAATTAATGTTGAATGTTAAATGTTAAATTTGTTGTTTTACCTGGCAGTTAGCATTACTCCAGCTGTGTCAGCGCCATCTGTAAATGATGGAGCCTGGACTAGACAAACCCGTGACTGATGGAACCAATGAACCCAGTCACTAAGCTTGGTCACCTAATCCAGTATTGTGGTCTCTTACCACGACTGATACACACATAATTGGTTCCCAATTGTCCAGATTGATGCTCATGCTGTTGATCACTGGATTGTCTGGTCCAGGCTCGATTATTTACAGACTGCCGCAATATAGCTGAAATATTGCTGGGTGTGGCGTAAAACTAAACACACTCACTCGCTTACCACGACCGTATAATGTTTCTGTGTTTGTAAGTACGACCACTGCCCTTGGGTATTAACAAATGAGAACAAGGACACTAGCTATTTACATTCTCGGAATTTAAACTTACTTTTTGGAGGGTTACTCTTCCATCTGAGAAGATCCGTTATGGAGCATTCTTAGGAGGACACTTAAGTCTACCTACGAAGTTTCTTAACTCTACCAAATGACTGCCTCTCAGTGCAACTGTCATCACCTCAGACATTTTCGAGAACTAAAGGACGTTTTAAGTATTTACAGTCACTATGAATTAATCAAGAGATTCCATTTGGATCTAATAGGAATCAATTTTGTGTGTATCATCCACAGAATGAAATCTACAGTAGCCCCTGAACTGAAAATGGCTATCATCTGGCGCTGTTTAGCGTCAACAGGAAAAACGCATCTGTGCAATGGAGATGACTTGGCATCGTCACAGTGTAAGATCAGCAGTGTCACATGACACATTGAATGCCTTGAGATTGTCACTTTTCGTGTAGCATTAATAAAATTCCCAGTTCATGTACGTGAACTACAAAGAAAAAAGCAGCATCATTGGAGACATTGATGGTACTCACGTTCGAAACATGAGGTCATGAGGCAGAATGTGTGAACGGAAAACACTATCACAATTAACACTGATTGTATATCAGTTTGAATGTGATCACGACGTGGCCTGATTCCGCCCTTGACTCTCGCATATTATGCTCAAAGGTTCGCCATCCGTGACCAGAGAATTCAACACCGTCACAACCTACCAACTGACACATTGGATTGTAAAGGCACTGATTGAGGAATGGTGAACATGCACACTACTGAATCACTGGCATTCATTCTGCTGGGAACTCTTGCCTTATTCCTGAAACCAAGGCACCACGAAAAGGACGGGCTCTTGAAGGAATGAACACATCAGCATCAACTTAAACATTTAATATCATTTTACGAATATATCAACATATACAAAAGAACAGTTTCCGCAAACATCTAACTATGTTCATATTTTAAAAAGGCGACAAAAACATCCCATTACTTTGAGAAGTTTGTACTGAAAGCATTAGCATGTCATAATGAAACAGTGAGAAAATGCTTATACAAGGTGTCATCAAAACGTTGAGAGAACATGGAAAGGTAAGGCAATTCAAGACAAGACTTGTAAAACATGGGTATTGCATCAGGCATGGTTTTTGTCACTGCTGCATCATATTTGGACTTGTCCTCCATAACACCATAAATGAATACAATCTCAACATGATGTTATTTGTTTAGGTTTCATCTGGAAATTCGTTCAGCATGTGTGAATAACGTGCAATCTTTCTCAACCTATTACACAGCTATTTGGTTGGCTGGTCCAGTACTCGGCTACCTGGTTGGCTGGTCCAGTACTCGGCTACCTGGTTGGCTGGTCCAGTACTCGGCTACCTGGTTGGCTGGTCCAGTACTCGGCTACCTGGTTGGCTGGTCCAGTACTCGGCTACCTGGTTGGCTGGTCCAGTACTCGGCTACCTGGTTGGCTGGTCCAGTACTCGGCTACCTGGTTGGCTGGTCCAGTACTCGGCTACCTGGTTGGCTGGTCCAGTACTCGGCTACCTGGTTGGCTGGTCCAGTACTCGGCTACCTGGTTGGCTGGTCCAGTACTCGTTGGCGGCTACCTGGTTGGCTGGTCCAGTACTTCGGCTACCTGGTTGGCTGGTCCAGTACTGGCTACCTGGTTGGCTGGTCCAGTACTGAAGCTACCTGGTTACCTGGTCAGTACTGGCTACCTGGTTGGCTGGTCCAGTACTTTCGGCTACCTGGTTGGCTGGTCCAGTACTGGCTACCGGCTGGTTGGCTGGTCCAGTACTTTGGCGGCTACCTGGTTGGCTGGTCCAGGTACTGGTCGCTACCTGGTTGGCTGGTCCAGTACTTTCGGCTACCTGGTTGGCTGGTCCAGTACTGCTACCTGGTTGGCTGGTCCAGTACTGGCTACCTGGTTGGCTGGTCCAGTACTGCTACCTGGTTGGCTGGTCCAGTACCGGCTACCTGGTTGGCTGGTCCAGTACTTTCGGCTACCTGGTTGGCTGGTCCAGTACTTTCGGCTACCTGGTTGGCTGGTCCAGTACTTCGGCTACCTGGTTGGCTGGTCCAGTACTTTCGGCTACCTGGTTGGCTGGTCCAGTACCGGCTACCTGGTTGGCTGGTCCAGTACTCGGCTACCTGGTTGGCTGGTCCAGTACTCGGCTACCTGGTTGGCTGGTCCAGTACTACGGCTACCTGGTTGGGTACCTGGTCCAGTACCGGCTGGTTGGCTGGTCCTGCTCTCGACTACCTGGTTGGCTGGTCCAGTACCTGCTACCTGGCTGACCTCAGTTGGCTGGTTGGCTGGTCCTGTACTGCTACCTGGTTGGCTGATCCTGTACCGGCTACCTACCTGGTTGACTGGTCCAGTACTCGGCTACCTGGTTGGCTGGTCCTGCTCTCGACTACCAGGTTGGCTGATCCTGCTCATGGCTACCTCATTGGCTGATCCTGTACTGCTACCTCGTTGGCTGGTCCTGTACTCGGCTACCTGGTTGACTGGTCCAGTACTCGGCTACCTGGTTGGCTGATCCTGCTCATGGCTACCTCATTGGCTGATCCTGTACTGCTACCTCGTTGGCTGATCCTGTACTGCTACCTGGTTAGCTGATCAAGTACGCTGCCACCTGATTGGCTGATCCTGTACCTGGCTACCTGGTTGGCTGATCCAGCTGACCTATGTCAGTGTTTCATTTAGGCTTAAATATCAACAAAGGAAGAGTCCTCTGCCAACACTGGTATTCTTGAACAAGTTGAGGGCCAGTCTGGTTGCAGCCACGTGACGTTTCACTTACAACGTGAACCTGAGCTATTCTGACCACAAGCTACTTTTCGGTCAATTTCCCAAAAGCAGTCCACTCCATTTGTAGCCATCATCGCTTGACCTGGCTAACCCAGACATGCCACGAAATAACAACCGCGTCGGTATATATGAGATATTCATTCAGAATCAGTTTCACACATTGGAAATACCTCCATGGTGATCATATCCTTCCGTGCTGAAGGATACAAGATATCATTAAAAAAAACAAAGATACACTGTTAACACTACTTTAAATGATCACTCCTCAAGACTACACGATAAGTGCAGGTGTAAATAAAGAAGACTAATAGCTGTAAATGATGACATTGTCATAACGAAATAATCATTAATTGAGTAATGATGCAGTTACAAATGTATATACAATGGACATGTACAGTAAACTACAGTTATAAGGAACACAATATGATAAGTAACTGTAGGTCGTTCTAACTGTAGTTCGTTATACATGTACATATTTCGGCTAAAATATACAACACGTTCCAGGAAAAGCACAGTTGTTATGAGTAAGCACGTTCAATGTAAACATAATTTACTGTACAATAAAACCTCATTAAAACGCACAATACATATTCGTCTAATGCTATGTAAACCGCCGTGGACCGTTTTGGACAAACATCTCATTGTGGTTTCGAATCCTGCTTTGCCAAGATTTTTTTGCAAACACTTTTTCCTATTAATTAAAATAGTCAACATATACACTGATTTGTCCGAGGAAATGTATCTCTGCATTATCAATTGATCAAGCCAAGACTTCCTTGCTGGTTAACCAAAAGTCTCTTTAATCAGTATTTTTGGGAAGTTGAATCTTGGTGTGCATTAGTTTTGAACTGGTGATCAAAAGTTTAGTTTTCATGGGAAGTTTGCTGTCATCCAAGTTTTGATATCAACAATTACGACGATGATTCTCTGGGACGTCTCACTGTCCGATGACGCTGACATTGGTCACACTGCATATTAATTAGTATATGTTGTGTCCAAAACCTATTAGCCGTGTCTCGAACGAAGGCTAGGTCCATCATTTGATGAAACAGGTTATATCGATCATATTAACATATAGGTTTTGTAATGATAATTTCCTCCATTTAATAAGGACCGTTTCCTGGAAATCCACCCTTACTGTAGAAATTGGGTGTCTGTGGGGTTAGTTATCTGCCACTATGCCAGCCTATACAGATTACAGAACACACGCTGGGTCAATAAATTGTGTGAAAAAAATTAACACAATCTAGTAGAGGAAATACAGTGCACACCTTTAACTGACATATTTTTACCTCCTAATTTTACGTCTTTATGAATTTTCGGATCATAGTTAATTTTCCTTAAAATTGTTGATAATTCAAATAAACTGAGACAAAATTAAGAATGCTGGATGACATAGCCGTGTTTACTTGAAATTGTGTACGAACATTCGCTTGAGTTGATCGATTGATTTAGCTAGTTCGGAAAGTAGCGATTCAGCATTCTTGGGAGAGGGTGAACCATACTTATAAATGCTCTTGGCTACATTGGGATATGGACTGTTCTTGAACGGTACTGGAATGTGGACACCAAGCATATTAACAACGGGTCTTTCCATCAATATTAATCTCTCCGACATCACCCGAAGTTTTGTATCTGACGACAGACGTTGGAATTCTGGGAATTTTCTCACACCACGATTGCCGTCATAGGTTCTGTATTTCAGCTTTTCCAAACATTTGTCCAACAATGACGTCAGTTTGTATTTCTCTGCCAGGTAGGAAAAGTGGACCAATTCTTCATTTGCTGGGTTACTTTGCTCGTCGTCTTTAAGAAGGAACATTGTCAGAACAAACTGCTCACACCGTTGCACGAGAGATTCGACCTCGTACTCGTCAGCGAGGGGCAGGACAATGTCCAGTGTTTTCCGCTGAACAGGTTTGCAAGTGGACGGATGAACACACAACAGGAATTCAACAAAATCAGCATACTTCTTGTCCGCGATGGGAACTTCTGTTTTGTTCTTAAAATCACCTTCGAACATTTTCAGGAAAGCAGGGGAGGTGAGACAAAGTAGAGCTTTACTCACGTGTAGTTTCTTCCCTTCAACAACGAGCACCACGTCAGTCAGAGAGCTGGGTGTAGAGAACATGGAGTCATCAGGCGCTGGTGAAGCTGGTTTCGTTTCTTCAATGAAAACAGTAGCGGAGTCGACCAAAGCTTTGGCTGCTGTTGACGATGTTGGATTTGACATTGTTCCCTAGAAACGACCAGAATCCAGAGAAACGTATACAACTGACATCAATATGGCGGATGAGCTGTTGGAAATACGGGCACGGTATTTCCTGGAAAACCTACTTTCGATTTAGCTTTAATACCATTCGACTGGAGTTGTCTCCCTTCCACTGTATACGTCAATATTAGAGCCCCAGATGGAGCACGTTATACGCACATTTTGATGATGCCTGGCGTCATTACAGCAGCAAAATCTTTGTTCGTTAAACAAAAATATAATGTTTGCAACAAAGTGTTTATTCGACAGAGGTATGGTTTTATTATGGACTGACTGTATTTGTTTGGTTCATTGAGGTATAATAACATTTTCGCTGTGTTCATTGTAAGTCCTGCATTCTGATTGGCTGAACTGGTCACGGGTGTTGCATTCATTTTTCAATGCATGAAAATCAATAAGTCACTCCCCCATCAAAGGGGACTACTATCATCACTAATTACTGTCGGGGAAGCTTGTTCCTCCTCCAGACTTACAACTCTTCCAGTTTCAGAGAAGACAACAGTTTCGCCACGCCCTGTTAACGATGTTGGATTTGACATTGTTCTTTAGAAACGACCAGTATCCACAGAAGTGTATACACCTGACTTCTACGAGGCGGATGAGCTGTTGGAAACACAGTCCCGGTATTTCCAGGAAACCAACTTTCGATTTAGCTTTATCATTCGACTCGAGTTGGCTCCCTTCCACTGCCTACGTCAATATTGAGAACCACCAAGAGCACGTTTTATGCACATTTGAATGATGAGTGGCGTCACCACAGCAGCAATTTTTTGGTTCGTTAAATAAACAATTGAAATATATTATTTGCAATAAAGTCTTTAATCGCCACGTTTTTTAATTAATGACTGACTATCTTTTCGGTTCATTGAGGCAACTGTGGTATTGATCGCGTTACGCAGTTGATTTCTTTGAAGGTACAGTATCAATGAAATGACGTTGGTAACTTTCTTCAATCTCATAAACATCAGGTGACAGATAATTTACTATCTTAACTACGACAGTGTTCACGCTGTAGATGCTGGTGTTTCTGTCTCACCTGTAAACGTCACGTTACAGACTCAAACACCGTCACAACCCACCAACAAACGCATCTGATTGTAAGACACTGAATGAACAATGGTGAGCCATACTCCTGATGTCATGGCCTCACGATCCCTGCCCTTCGTCGTGTGCACGCGTCCGTGCTTGTACGTGGATGACATGCACGTCACAGAATGACTGGCATACACTCAACAGGGAACTATTGCCCGAGGCCAATCTATGCTTAAAGCATAAACATGTCTTGAAACACTATGAGAAAATGCTGATACAAGGTATTGTCAAAAAGTTATGAAAACTTGCAAAGGTAAGTCAATTCAAGTCAAGACGAGCCAGAAAAAACGGGAATATATGGTACAAGTCAAACTTGGGAATTGTATCGGACATCTTTTTTAGAAACAAACTAGCACAATTACGTTGCACGCATCTGTTACGAGTGGAGAGATCACACAACAGTTTAAAATAGATTTAATAATGGCAGCCTATACATATGTACAATGTGCAAAACAAGTATCATTTGATACGGTTAAAAGTCTTACTTTGGATAAACAGTTGTTCCTGTTCCATCACATTCCTCAGAATAAAAATACATACATCCATGAAATGGAACCCCCTCTATGCCGACATGGCACGTTCAGAAAGTCAGTTTAACTAGCCGACATGGCTAAACCTCTCATCTTGCTCCGACCTGGGCACTCATGACTTTGTGTTTTAACTTGCTTGAGGAAGTCAAAAGCCCAAGCTACAATTATATAACATCATTAGTGTTTCATTTCCCCAGCTTACTTATAGACAATGGAGAGTGGTCACTGGTAAGCATAGCTCCTGAGTCATGGTGAACGGGTATTGTAGGGAATATATGTATATAAATATATATTCGGTATATTATATATATATATATATATATATATTCCTACACACATATATATATATATATATATATATATATTAGATTCACTTCTAATTTAGATATACAGACATGTAGCAGGACTGCGTCAGTCACGCACAGACAACAGACGCTACTTTTGTTGTTCTTCAATGGCCGATGTTTTATTGGAGATATGTATAGGTGAAAACAACAACCCTGAAACAATCAGGTGTACAATATAATAAATGCAGCAATATACACATATCCTAAACACAGATATACACATATAATTCGTACATATGCTATAACATTACAAAACAGTTGCTTCAGTAAACAATTACTGTGTACAAAATGTATTTCATTTGATATACATGACATATAAACAATATATAAACCTACCAGGTGTGTGGGCCTAGGTTTATTTCACACCTGGGGACGCTGCTGTATCTGTATGAAATGTTCGCCAGTAGAGAAAATAACAATAATATGTACAGACATGCTAATAATAAACATATACAAAAGTATCCTCAGCAATAATGCAGTAATCAAACACAAATGGGGATGTAGCTGAGCAAGATATAAAGCAATGCAAAATAAGACCTCATTCATGCATTCATTCGTGCTTATTTTCATTCACCCATTTATGATTACAAAGCTACACTTGTGTTCATCCATTCATCACATGCTCACATGGTTAGCCTTGCCTTTTAATAATCATGTTACTAATATTACATTGTAATGAACGTAGAGTATTTATCAACAAAATCACAGTACTATGGATTTGAGACTAACACACACTGATACAACTACAAGTTATATCTACAAATGATATACATGAACAATAAATAGATAAAATATCCAAATTACCTCAGAATGTGATCCAAAGATCTGTTAAGAAATTCCACATGGAATGTTACTCATCTGACGATTGAATGTGAAGTGACCACAAACCTTGTAATGTGTAAAAGTGTAAAGCTTAGCTGATTGCCCAAGCTGGCTATAAAGACAAAAGAACCTAGGTGGGGAAGGGCTTATGTTATTGTGCTGTGTGGTGAACATGCGGTAAGCATGCTCAGTGAACTGGCTGTGAGTGATAGTTAGTTAAGGCAGGCTAAGTATCATGATAACATAAAATGACTAAAGCTGTGCAATGAAATTTAAAGCATTTATTTACATGAATTCTAATCAATTTACAACATGTTAAAATATACATAATCTGTTACTGCCACAGATATATATTTATATATATGTGTATAAGAGATTCTCATCTGAAAACATTATTCCACACACAAGGACACAAGAGTTGACAGTAGGCCTACTACAGGTCCCTGCCTGGTGCTCGGCATGAATGGGTACAACAAGGACTGGTCGGCTCGGAAGATAATGTGTCTGAGATGGGGTATTCATGCATAACTGCGGCATGGTATCTAAGTGACCTAGCACTATAAAGCCAGCCTAAGTCTGGGCTAGTACAAGTTGCCATACATGCACAAGCATGCACGTTGTCATATGGACCCTAAACCCCATTTTACCCTACATAACAATACTACATGTATGTACATCCATACTCATTTTCATAACGAGTTTGTCTTTATCAGTATATTATACAGTGAGGGACATATGGAATTTACTATAACCTGTGTAGTCCTGTGGACATGACTCAGTAGGTCTTGGTACCAAGACAGATACAGAGTCAGCTGTGCAAGGGTAGTCTCAGTGGTCATCACCCCTTGAAGGTCCGGGTTAGACTTGGTCTTCAGTAACTCATGCTTGTCGTAAGAGGCGACTTACGGGATCGGGTGGTCAGGCTCGCTGACTCGCTGACACATGTCATAATATCCAAATTGCGTAGATCGATGCTCATGCTGTTGATCACTGGATTGTCTGGTCCAGACTCGAATATTAACAGACCGCTGCCATATAGCTGGAATATTGCTGAGTGCGGCGTTAAACAACAAACATGTCCAGTCATCTGGATAATATAAACCTCAACAAAAGCTAAACAAACTGAAAGATTGACAACGACTGTCAAGATAAGGCTTCCTAAGTTCAAAAACCACAGGTTCTGAGCACATAATGTACACGTGTTGATGGTGCCCTGTGATTTGTGCGAGAGAGAAAACAGTAACTCCATGCAGTCTCTACTTGATCAATATCTGTACCTATCTATACGGTATAAATACCAAGGAAACCCAAGGGTTGATATAAGGAACAACGCTCCACGCCATCTCACCGAATCTTGCCAACCGATACTCCTTACGATGAGCGCTGGATACTGGATTCTTCATTCTCCACTTCGCGCAGCGGTGTGTCTTGTATTCTAATTCCCATTTTCTTCCTGGCTGCTGAGAGTCAGCAATTTAATTTTGTTGTGCACATGAAGTAACGACTATCACAAAACACACCAGCAAATGTAGCATACATGGCATCAATAGCAGAGCATTCTTCTGATCAAATCCATACCCTTTGAAAGGTATATCTTTAACTGGCCGGATACATCTTGACGCTTTCGTGAAATTCTTGGTAGTGGCTAAGTTGTGCCTACACATATTGAGCAGAGACAGTTTGGAATGGTGCTTAAACCTGCTGGATTAGGCCTAAGTTGAAACGTTTATCTCATTTGAATGCGTTTTTCAGTTCTCAAGACACCCATAATACTGAGGATTTGATATTTGGTCTAAATTATGCCATGGTTCTCGAATGGCAGCAACAAGGTTCTTCCATTAATCATATTCTCTCAGACATTTCTTGAACTTAAATATCCGATGATAGACGCTGGAATTCAGGTAAACTGTTCACATCATCTTTGTTGTCCATCATAGGTGGATATTTCAGTTTGACTACACATTTGCTTAATACTGACTTCAGTTTGTATTAATCTGCCAGGTCAGGACGAAACAGTTCACATCACTTGACAGACACAACCTTGTACCCCATGTACCGTGTTTGTTAGGAAATGTCCATTTACTTTGCATCTTGTACCGCTTGTTTCGGGTCATAGCGTGGATCCCTCTTGAAATACGTTGTGAGTTTGTCAATGTAAGCTGACAGCTTGGATCTTAACTGCTCTCTGCATCCTGGTGAAGTATGCTTGAGTCCTGGTCGACGGCAGCCGTGACAATCAGGAACCACAATGTAATAAAACAAATGCTTACAAGCATGTAACCTTGTTAAGGGTGCTTCAAGCAAAGTCGTTCTTCCAGACAGCCCTCGTATGACATATTCCCAGTTCATCTTGCACCTTTTCAAAACGTATTTTTTGGAAAGTTTATTTTGCCTGCTTCACATTGGATTTAATAGAGATTGGATCCTTCCTAAAGTGACTTGTGAGTTTGTCCAAGTAAGCTAACAGGTCGGATTTCAACTGAACTCTGCATCCTGAAGAGCTATGATAACACTCTGTACCTTTACATGCCTTACACTCAGGTTTCACAATATGATCCAATCGTTGCTTAAACATGTGTACAGCTTTTAAGGTTTCCTCAAACAAACTCGTTCTTCCAGACAGTACACGAAACCTGGTGTCTACAGACAGAAGATTAAATTCCCGCAAAGTTTTGATGCCGTTCTCGTAAGTTCTGTATTTCGCCTTGATAACACAGGCGTCCAGAAGAGCATTCAGTTTATACTTGTCAGACAGGTAGAGAAAGTGAACCACTTCTACATTAGACGGATCTGATCGCTGTGCATCTTTGAGTTGGAACATATTGAGGACAAACTGCTCACACCGTTGCTTGAGAGACTCGACCTCGTACTCGTCAGCGAGGGGCAGAACAATGTCCAGTGTTTCTCGTTGGACAGGTTTGCAAGTGGACGGATGAATACACAACAGGAACTCAACAAAATCTGCATACTTCTTGTCCGCGATGGGAACCTCTGTTTTGTTCTTAAAGTCACCTTCGAACATTTTCAGGAAAGCAGGGGATGCGAGACAAAGTAGAGCTTGACTCACGTGTAGTTTCTTCCCTTCAACAACGAGCACCACGTCAGTCAGAGAGCTGGGTGTAGAGAACATGGAGTCATCAGGCGCTGGTGAAGCTTCGGCTGTTGACGATGTTGGATTTGACATTGTTCCTTAGAAACGACCAGAATCCAGAGAAACGTATACAACTGACATCAATATGGCGGATGAGCTGTTTGAAATACGGGCACAGTATTTCCTGGAAAACCTACTTTCGATTTAGCTTTAATACCATTCGACTGGAGTTGTCTCCCTTCCACTGTATACGTCAATATTAGAGCCCCAGATGGAGCACATTATACGCACAGTTTGATGATGCCTGGCATCATTACAGCAGCAAAATCTGTGTTCGTTAAATAAAAATATAATCTTTGCAACAAAGTGTTTAATCGACAGAGGTGCGGTTTTATTATGATCTGACTGTATTTGTTTGGTTCATTGAGGTATAATAACATTTTCGTTGTGTTCATTGTAAGTCCTGCATTCTGATTGGCTGAACGGGTCACGGGTTATTGCATTCATTTCTCAATTCTCACTTGAGAGACACTGGTCACGGGTTTTGTATTCATTTTTCAATGCATGAAAATCAATAAGCCACTCCCCCATCAAAGGGGACTACTATCATCACTAATTACTGTCGCGGAAGCCCATTTACAGTCGAGAGAATTCCCTTTGTTTACCCGTATCAATCGCGCACAGGAGATTCATAACTAGTATCGCTGAAACCATTACATTCTTACCTTCATACGTCATATATAGCTCCCAGATGTATGACTGCCCAATGTTCAGATGTAACGGGTTATATTTGGAATCACACTTTCTCGGTAAAGTACAGTGATGAGTCCCAACCACCCGGGATTCGAACCCACTCTCAGAGGGAGGCACCTAATCACCAGCACACAAAGTCAGCTGTCTTACCCATTCAGCCACCAACAAAAAATTAAGTGTGACAACTGATAATTTTGTCAAATGGAACCACAGGGGGGTAAACCCTGTCTATGCTCAACCGGAAGTTGGTCGTCATCAACTACCATTTCCTCGATAGACAATCGATCCCGGTAGAGAGTGAGACCAAAACTTCGTAAGATTTTTATATTTCCAAGTAGTAAATGTTTATGAAATCGACTTGTCTTGTAAGCTGAATAGGCTACTCATGGATTATAACCCCTATATCATTTGGTCATGACATGTTATATTTTGTTTACATTTGAAGCATTTCTTGACACGCCTTTCGGCGCGAATAGGAAAAGCCTAGAAATCGACCAATTTCGTCCTCTTTACAACATAATCAATTGAATTCATTTCACGTATTGTGCATTTTTAGGCTAAATGGGGTTAAATTAAAACATACAAACTGAGATATTAGCGAAAACAATAACTGTACGCATCGATGGTAGTTGCTTCATCACTGTAAGGGTTGTTGGTTTCTTCTCACACAAAACTGTCTTGGTAGTTGCAGCTATCGAACTCTGATTCGTTCCCGTTTCCTCTATTGTAGGTCACTATTACAACGAAAGGATATACTGAGATGATCTGTTCGTTTGCTTTCAATTATGGTTGGAAGTTTCCATTGTTATTATTGTCCAGAGAAATCAGAATTTTGATACATTATTAAACATTTGTGCAACCACAATCAACATGATGTCATCAAGGTTTGACAAAGGATGTCTGATAATGACAATAAAAAACATAATACAACTTCAAACCAAAACATTTGAAAATATAATTCCCTTAGAAATCCAAAAACGTTGAAAATCGTGTACACCAGTCCCATTTACATTGACCTTGAGGGTTGAAGATATAGGGCAGCAACACCAGAAGTCGTCGTGAAACAGTTGTTGGTGCCACGTTCAAGGTTACTGAACTTCTTCCAGGTGTCATTTCAGCATTGAGGTGAGGTGAGGTGAGGTGAAATTGGGTTTAACGTCGTGCTTGAGAATATTTCGCTCATATGACGACGTGCATGCGTGTGTATGTGTATGTGCGGCTGCTTGTACTAGCCCAAACTGTTCAAGCTGGTTTTATAGTGCTAGCCCACTGAGATACCATGCCGCAGTGAAGCATGAATACCCCACTCAGACACATTATACCAGTCCTTGTTGTACCCAATAATGCCGAGCGCCAGGCAGGGACCAACAAGTACCATATTTTAACGTCTTTTGGTATGACGCGGTCGGGGATCGAACCCCCGACCTCCCGCTCTCCGGGCAGACGCTCTAACCACTACACCAAGGAGGCGGTCGCGTTTCAGCATTGAAAGAATCGGGGCACCTTCTCAGGTTGTAGATTGGTAACGTCATGACACAAAGTTGTAACAAAGTTAATATTTTTCCATTTTCTCAAGTTTATGTCACAACGTAATAACAAATTTACGTTGAGGAAACGTTATGCTTTGGGCTCCTCACAACCTTATAACGTTTTTTATAAGTTGGTGTCAGTTTTCTGTAAAACCAAAATACGTTATTAGCATCAAATAATTTTAACCTTGTGGCGACGTAAAAATGACGTTTCACAACGTTGTGGCCTGACGTTGTGATATTACGTCCACAGAAAAACGTAACAACGAAAGCATTACGTTGTGACAACGTGAAATTGTTAGTTGGGTTGACACCTGGATGAAGTTCAACCGTTTGTTACACCATGGAAAACTCCCTTTGGATAACATTACTTTCCTTTTGTTTGAAGACGTAATATAGTGGTATTCACTTGAAACAACCACTCAAATGAGATACAGAGATGGGATTAAACATTTCTGGAGAATCGGTCAAAAGTTATTTCACTGAAAATGTCTCCGTTTTATGAGTGGGATTAAATACAGGTCACCTGGAAGAGTAAGATTAAGGTGACTTAAAGTCAGAGGATTCAAGATTAACTTCGCTGTGCCATCAAGACACATTTTGGATAAGGTTGAAAACACATTTAGGCGCACAGATGCCCCAGGTATCTTTAATGAGGTTGGGGCGGTGGGGTAGCCTGGTGGTTAAAGCGTTCGCTCGTCACGCCGAAGACCCGGGTTCGAATCCCCACATGGGTACAATGCCCGACGTTTGATGTCAGTCAGTGGGAGAGTCGGATCTCTATCATCTGGAATATTGCTAAAAGCGGCGTAAAACCAAACTCAGTCAGTCAGTTTAATGAGGTTCTTGCTAGGATTTCTGAATATTTCAGTGACATTGCTCTAAAAGTTTGCGTAGATGGAAATAGAGAAACATGGGACCAAATATGTCACTCAATACACAGCTGCATGCTTCAAACCAAGGTCCTACCTCAGTTGATAAATAACAGAAAACCAACTACCCGTACAGTACCTTTTCAACAACTCGTACACGTACAGTTGATTTGTTTACATGAGCAACTACCATCGACGTGTACAGTTATTGTTTTCGGTAATATCTTAGTTTGTATGTTTTGACAGAAGCTAAAATCTTGACACATCGGCTACATAACCTCATTTAGCCTAAAAATGCACAATACATGAAATGAATTCAGTTCATTATGTTTTAAAGACGTCAAAAGTGGTCGACTTCTCGGCTTTTCTGATTCGCGCCAAAAGACGTGTCAAGAAATGCTTCAAACGTAAACAAAATACAACGTGTCATGACCAAATGATATAGGGGTTATAATCCATGAGTATTCAGCTTATAAGACAAGTTGATTTCACAAACATTTGCTACTTGGAAATATCAAAATCTTACAAAGTTTGGGACTCACTCTCTACCGGGATCGACATCTATCGAGGAAATGGTAGTTGATGACGACCAACTTCCGGTTGAGCATAGACAGGGCTTACCCCCCTGTGGGAACATATGCTACACTTGGGATTAAACAATCTGTTTAACGAAAGTATTATCAATGATTATAATGAATACTTTAGCAAGTCAATCACGAACTATCTGTAGGCCTATTTGCATGATTGTGGTGCGCTGTGCTAAAGTGCAACGTGAAAATCAAACCATACGCGGACCGCATACACGGGTTAGTTACAGTTGTCTCCCTTGGACTGGTGACGGAATAGGAAACTCCCTCATATAATCTTGTGTTGCATATTGGGATTAACACAAAGCAATGTTAAAAATTTATTTATGTATGGATAAGTTATGAATTCTGTTACAATCGACAATCGAAGGAACACTGCTGGAAAGGACTTCTATTTCACCGTATTTCACCCTTGATGAAGGAGCAAGCATACACTCCGAAACGTCGTGTTATTCACAATAAAGAAGTTGACATCCATAAAATCTTGCTTTTTCCTCATTGACAGCCGTTAATACATTTGTCCACAATCAGTCGAACATAATCAACTATTTGGTTACCACGAGTAGTGTCTGTTGCACTAGGAATATACACCCTGTGGTGTTTGATCAGAGTCCTCTGGAGGGATATCGCCATTTTCAGCTGGAGGCTCGTACAAAATGGAGGCTTCTTCGAAGGTTCTGTTCCATCTTCTGTAAACTATAAATTATTGTACTATTGGATCAAAGATAAAGTGAGCCATGGTCTTCTTAAGACAGGCAGCCGCCGCCTTGTTTACACATTGTTTACACATTATTGAAAAAAAGGACCATGTTGTTACTCAAGTAGACACAGTCTTTCAGATGTAATCCTATATTTAACTTCTACTGACAGCAATCCAAATTCGTTCAACATTTTAACACCGCCTTTCCCCTTATAGGATCGGTGAATCACCTTCTCGACAGATTCTTCTAGAAGTTTGTTCAGTTTGTACTTATCCGCCAGGTAAAGGAAGTGAACCAACTCTTTGGTGGTTGGATCGCTGACTTCCATAGAAGGGATCCCTGTCCAGACATATGATCACTATCTTCATGTTCTTTCACAGGTAGTGTCATATGTTTATCCTCAAAACCGAATCTTAAACACACACTTTCTATTGACATGCTCCTTGCACGATGTTCTACTTCTTCGGTCGAGCTATTTTCTCCACAAGAATCGGATTCTGCTCCAGTTTCTGTGTCATAATAGTCTGTGCTTTGTCTTTCAGTCACCTTTCCTGGTTGAGAGGCATATGAGTGGTCCGACTCAACACTAGAAGCTGGCCCTGAGGCATCATTGCTCTCCATTCTCACATCACAATCAGTTGTGTCCATCATACTCTCCTCAGAGCTCTTGCTTGCATGCATTTCCATGGAAAAACTGTTCTCTTGAACCTTTTCTGTATGACCAGTTGTCAAATATGTTTCTAATAAACTTGACTTTTCTTCATTATCGGTAGTGTCCAAACAAGTCCTATCACTAACAATGGCAACAAAGCCAGACTCAGACTGCTCATTATCAATCACACCTATACTTGGTCCTGCAGCTGATCCCGGGACTGGTTCCTCAACAAATCCTGATGGACTAGCTGCCTCACCATTCTCTGACACTGTCTGTTTCTCACAGATTGCACAAAGCTCACTAGGATCAGATACCCCAACAGCATAATCAGTCCTTGGCTTGTGACATACAGGACAGCAAGCAGCCGTTGGTTCTGTCAAGTCAAAATCACTGACATTGTCCTGCTCAATCACACTTTCATCATCTTGTTCTACCTGAGCAGGTTCTGTCACACTCACATCACAAGCACCTGATTCCACAGGAGAACCTTCAGATGTCTCTTTAACAGATGCAGATTCAGATGAGTCATCTTCATCTGCACTCTGAGCACCAGCTGGATCAGGTGGAGGTGGTTGTGAAGCATCTTCTGACACTTCAGGAGAATCCCCACAACCACTCTGACCAATGTCTAAGCTGTCATTTTCACATGGTGCCTCGTCAGACTCCTCGACTGCCTTCTGTGACGAGTCGGTTTTACTCTCTTCATGTTCCACAGACAGGTCTGTAATTTTAGCACTATCACCTACTACCTCTCCTTCCGCACTCCATGAATGCCTCCTTATCGTCCTTCCAGGAGAATCCTCATCCACCACATAGTCAACACCACTTGACTTTTCACTGAACAACTTGCCTACCTCACTTGAGGGTAGGTTGCAAGAGTTCTGTCGCTTAATCTCACTACGTAGCTTTCTGGCTGAGCCCATTTTGTTACTATTGCTTGAATCCTCTTCCTCTGTTGACTCTTCTGTATTTTTATCATCACAGTTTGCCTCACTTTGAGTCTGACCTCCTGACTGGTTGGATGACTTGGGATCGTCTCTCTGTAGGGCGGCAGCTGCTGCCAGAAGGTCCAGAGGGTTGAAATCCATCATCCACTTGCCTTGTCCAGTCCTTACCCAACATGGAGATTAGTTGTGAGGCGGAAACGTCTAAGAATCTGGAAAAATCAGAGAACTACAATTAACTAGTTGTTCCCTGAAGTAATTTTGTCACATTCAAGGCTGAAAAAGACAGCAGCATTAGAAGTATTGATAAAACTAGTCCAGTGAGCAAAATGTCCTATTACAAGAACCACAGGGGACCTGGCTTCAGCAAACTGGCAGGCCAAATAACATTGAGTCAAATGTTCTTTACATTACATTCATTATAACATGGGCTGTTAACCATAGGTTTATATTGTCGGAATTTGAGTATGAATACATATGTAACAATGGAAGCTGTAAGAGAATAATAATGACAGCCAATCTTAACCCTCCCCAACTAAAGCTAACCCAGCTACAGTCTGGACTTTTACCCACTAGTCCGAAGCCAGAGTCAAGTAAATTTGTTCTGATCTAGTAACATCAGCTTATTCTAGTGCACATAATAAATATTAATTTTTACTAAAAACAAAGCCTAGTTAAATATCTAAGCTATTCGACTCAAAACTGGTCTTTAATAAATTAGCCATATATTCATGTTTTCATGAATAGAGTATAACATCACTTTTTACAATATTAAAGCTATATCACAAGAGGGTTAATAGGCAAGTCATCCCTAAAATAATATTTCACTTTGCTTAATATACCACTGGCACAAACTGCCCATCTATAACATCCTCAATTATTTGAGCTCTGTGGCCTTCCAACACACTCTTTCCATATACTGATAAACATAAACTTACTGTAATAGAGATTTATACCCTGCTGAAAGTGAATTCCTAGGTCAATACATGTTACAGCAAACACTTGCCTGTGTTATCAACTCTATTGCCAAGCAAATAACCAAACAATACAGTTATAATACTTGACTTGAGGGAGTGTCGACAGAGTTTAAGATCAGTTCATTTCAAGTACACTGGCCAATTTTCAAATTAAAATTCAATAAAGATTTTTTTCCAACATGATAAAATAGAAGAAATATTTGATAAAATCATAACCATGTGGCCATGCATCAAACTTCATATCACATCATGTTTTGTTCATCGGGTAAGTTCTCCAATCGTCAACAAAATAGAACAAAACAATTTGCAAAGATCAGTTGGTACAAATACACATACATTGAACCTGGATATCAACCACCACCAAGAACAGCTTTGACAACAAGCCTAACCAAACACCCAATCCAGCCATGGTGAACTCCACAATAAACACGCCAAGGGAGAGAACTCATCATGACACTCGGAAGGCTTTGTTCTCGCTCACCAAGCTAATCAATACTCGGCCAGATTTCAAGAACACCTCAATGAAGGAAGTAGGGACACTGGGCTGCTTGCCTTGCCAACTCACTAAACAGGGAAAGCCATGCAGCCCACATGCTTGCTACAGACAACTTGATATAAGATACACTGTAAGAGAAATCTCAGCATGCATAAAGCACATCCACTGTGTGACCTAAATGTAGTAGTCTCTGCATCCAGCAGCCATCTCGCCATATGGTGACTCGACATCTGCTTTTAGCACACGTACTCAATCTCTGGGATAAAGCAGGCATTTGTGGGCTTTCTCTCAATCACAAAACCTTTTCCCTTCTTCAAATTGAGTTCATTGCAATTTCAAAGGACGAGGCTGACACAAAACAGACATTATTACTGGTGCTGTGAATTTCATCAGTATTGCTGCAGCATTCAAGATTCCCATTATCTTGAGATATTTTTATTCAGTAAACCATCACTGATTTGCACTAAACTGCAGTTGAGATTTGCACAGCACATATCTGACGTACGTGCATCCTCCAAATTAACATCATAAATACTGGTTGTGAATACGTGAACACCATCAAATTCAGAGATGGATCAAGAATAGTATGTACTGAATGCTAATAAGATATCACTTCCGTTATTAGAGTTTTTAACGCAGCTACAACGGAAACACATTTCATGAACGTTTTCACAAAAACTAGAATAAATTTCATTCGATTATCCCTTTAGTCGCTAGGATATTGTGGACTTTTCCCTACTGCAGACCAATTCAACATTTTGTTTGCCAAAAGTGACAACCCTGAACCAATGCATGTCTTCTACAGTTTAGTCAATCTTTTATCTCTAATGATGAATATGCAACATCCGAACACTCATCCCTTTCAAGATCACTCATGAAACAATCATGTAAATATCACAGCATGAACATCATGCCTTACAGTATTATATCATCATTAAAAGATATAACAGTCACATGCATACCTAAAATAATAAATCAACTGGTCATGTCTTATCTTATAAACAGTCCAGAAAGTTTATGCACTTGTATAATTACAAGTCTATTGATTAAAACTGTTTGTGATTTGAAACAAAACAACAATATTTTGCTCTCACAAAAGTATCAAGTCAATACTTTAATACTGATACAAGAAACCCTACCATGACTATATGATAACAAATTTCAGTGAAACAGACTTAAAACCTCATCATGTGCAAGTTTAGATCCTCACATACACCAAACTTTCCTTTATTTGGTCAGTGCCAGTCTGGTATGGTCAGTCAGCAGGACCCAGCATGCTGTGTCCTCGATAAACCTCAGTATTCACTCAACACAAACACAACATTTGTCAAACGTGTCGGTGCCTTATCCTACAGCCGCGTTCACACAGATGCGCTTGGCGGACCACACCTGTATTCACCTGAATAGATCGTTGTAGATAGGATGTAAATCGATTCTGACATAAAGCACAAGGAGAGGAAGAGACATGGTATTTAACATGCCTTGGTACCTGGCTTATCACACTGTGTTATTTACTCAGAAAATACAACTTTGTCATGAGTGTTTATGCACACAGGTTCATAAATGTTTCTGGAATCAAAAGTGACTTTCATATAATCGTTTTCTCACAACCAGCCATTCTTTTGATGAAGGCACAAAAGGTATCCATGAAAGGTTGTGCATACATAAACAAGTTCTCATCCATAATATTCCTCAAACCTTAATATGGACAAAATGGAATTTGAGACGTGTATACAACCCAACATTTGTGAAGGATCAAAGTAGTCATCATCAGTCAAAGGTGTGGTCCTTACCAAATGTTGAGTGGCATATGAGGCAAAAAACCTGATAATTATGCTTACAAAGTAACAAACGTACCAAATGATACAAAAGGCCAAATAGGTTTGTGTGATAACAACTTCACTGTCTTCTAAAACTGAACCCCCAAAACACATGCACCAATAAAAAAACTACAGCAATCCATAAAAAGAATGGCTGATGAACAAAAGAACATTTAAGATTTTATTCAAACTTCAGTTGAAAAACAGAAAACAATCTTGCACAAAATCCATGACAATTAACAACTAACTTAACTGACCAACCAACATTACCTTCTGAGACCAGCGTAACAAGTTGTTAAAGTCTCATAAGAAAAGCAAGACAAGATATACTGCACGTTAATTGTGTCCCCTTGCACAAATCAATGACATTATGGGCTTTGTCTTGCAGGCCTGACTGAAGAGCTCACCAAGCCCCATACAATATTCATTGCCAGCAGTCTCTCCACCTGATCAATACAGGCCTACAATTCAGATTTACACACAACTGCCTTTGTTTAGGCCCAACATTGATCCCGGAGGCCTGCATATATATAAAGACATGGTACACTGGTCAGTGTAAGTCTGGACAAAGTCACTGTCACCACACCAGCTTTCAGTTTATATCATCTGAGGTTCATTATCACACTGGTCAGTGGAAATTTCTTATCCCCATATAACATTATCAAGAAACAACTTTAATTATCATAGCCTTAGCACATTACCTTTGTGAGTATAACCTTTGTGTTTTTATATAAAGGATATTTTCTTTGTTGATTTGTAGAATTTATCTGGGGTTTTCATCGTGTTTCAAACCATTCACAATAAAACACACTATTACACTGGTCAAACGAAATTTCTTATCCTCCTATAACATTATCAAGAAACAGCTGTAATTATCACAGCCTTAGCATATTACCTTTGTGAGGTATAACCATTGTGTTTATTACCTTTGTGAGGAATAGCCATTGTTTTTATTACCTTTGTGTGGTATAACCATTGTGTTTTTATGTAAAGGTTATTTTCTTTGTTGATTTGTAGAATTTGCCAGGGGTTTTCATCGAAACGTTTCAAACCTTTCACAATATAACACAATTATCACACTGGTCAAATGAAATTTCTTATCCTTTTATAAAATTATCAAGAAACAACTAAAAATATCACAGCCTTAGCATATTGTCTTTGTGAGGTATAACCATTGTGTGTATTACCTTTGTGTGGTATAACCTTTGTGTTTTTATGTAAAGGATATTTTCTTTGTTGATTTGTAGAATTTATCTGGGGTTTTCATCGTGTTTCAAACCATTCACAATAAAACACACTATTACACTGGTCAAATGAAATTTCTTATCCCCCTATAACATTATCAAGAAACAGCTGTAATTATCACAGCCTTAGCATATTACCTTTGTGAGGTATAACCATTGTGTTTATTACCTTTGTGAGGAATAGCCATTGTTTTTATTACCTTTGTGTGGTATAACCTTTGTGTTTTTATGTAAAGGTTATTTTCTTTGTTGATTTGTAGAATTTGCCAGGGGTTTTCATCGAAACGTTTCAAACCTTTCACAATATAACACAATTATCACACTGATCAAATGAAATTTCTTATCCTTTTATAACATTATCAAGAAACAGCTGTAATTATTGTAGCCTTAGCATATTACCTTTGTTAGGTTTTAACTATCGTGTTTATGATAAGGTTATTTCCTTTGTTGATTTGGAGAATTTATCAAATCATTCACAACAAAACAAGTGAGTGAGTGAGCTGGGTGGGTTTTACGCTGCTTTTAGCGATATTCCAGCAATATCACGACAGGGGACACCAGAACAACAAAACAAGGCTGTGATTTTGACAAAAAGCGTTTTGTCATAACAGCCAATTCAAACAGCTGAACAATACCTCTTCAGCACCATAGCTCTGAACGGTTCATGAAATGTAA